TAAATTATATAGTACACACATAGAAAATTTATCTTGTAAGTTAAGACATGTGGCTTGCAAAATCAACATATATTGGAGGTCTTATAAAACGTCACTACATAGATCCTAAGTGGATAATATATATAGAGACAAGAGTGAAGCCTTCTTCACTCTTTTCAATTCTTTTCTTGCTATAGTCTAGATTTAAGAGTCTTTAGTTTTTTTGTCTTTTGGCAACAACCATTCAAATTTCCTCTTAATATACATGTTTCTTTAATTCTATTTTGTCATACTTCTTTGAAAAAAGTCTCACTTGGTTATTTGTTTTCATCAGATTTTTATCCATGACAATTATCTCACAAAGCAAATTGCAACAAACATCTTCAAAAAACTTCTTCTTAGAGCTAAGTTTCTAACTTTTAGGAATATATTAAGTCTTGTTTCAATAGAAAATTAAGTCCCACTTTTGGAGGAGGAGTGTTGAATGTCCCATACTCTATGTACCAAAAGTTGTGACTTATCCAACTTCCTAACTGAAAGTGCTCTTGCCATGGCTTTTGACACATCTTCGTTCATAACAGAATGTTATTCATCCAATTTTCATAGCATATTTAAGGTGATGTTATAAGTACATAGTGCATGGTGTGATATCTTTTGGTATCCGTTTGCATGCTATCCACCTGATCGGCCAGAGAAGAGTTTGCTTTTGCCAGTAGGTAAATCTACCGGGTGTGATGATGAAGGTTCTCGGACACGCTGTGCATGTTCTTCTTGTGCTGCTTGTGTATTGTCGCTATCACCTCCCTTAACTTATCAAACTGCTGAGTGTTTTCATCACCTCCAGCGTCTCTTTGCTTCGTCAACTTCCGCGTTTCTCTCGTTGAGGGCTTGTACCTCCATTGCATAACGTGAGACTCGTCATCTTCCTCCTCTGAGCTTTGAAATTGCGATTGTACACACTTGCTCAATACTCTAGCCTAATGTTTGAGTGCTTGCGAGACTGCCAACACGTATCAAGTTGTAGTGAACCATGTTGTTGTCTAAAAAACATGGCGATCAGATCAACATTTGCAATATGTATAGTATCGCAAGGTTCAGGTCATATAGTTGTGAGCCCAGCTTCGCTGAGTCTGCGCGTTTGAGGCCTTGCTGCCATCTCGAACGGATTAGAGTAGCTGATCCGTTTCAATCAATCGCAAGCTTCCTTAGGTAATCTGTCGAATTCATTAGCATACGCTCTTCCAGTAGGCTCAACCACATCTTTGTCAAGAGTTGGAGGCACTTCTTTCTGCCGCACCTTCCCTTTGGACCCACTTGCAGCAGAGGTCTAAGCAGATGAAAGCTTCAGTTTCATCATAATTCGTGTAATATCCCCAACTTTATAGTCCACACTTCGATGCTGGATGTGAAGTTCTTCATAGGTAAAAGCTGTGACTATGGGAGACACGTTCCATCAATAGAAAGATAAAGAGAAAAACCCAGAATAGACCACTCTTTCTCTTGCAAATGCTCGATATATAGCTGCACAAATCATTCCAACCTCATCACAAAATAATGTAGTGATAACAAAACACTGAAACACTTATGTGTGTCGAGACTTATCCTGGTGATGAGTTTTATGTCAAAAAAATGTAAGTAGAGACTGAGAGGTAGTTCCATCAGATGGTGCCTTGATCTGTTATTCAACATATTTATGTTAAATAACCCTATAACCTACATCCCTCGAAATCAAAAATCAAAGTAATGAAGCGTACCACTAGTGAGAAACAGATGTGGCACATGAAGCTCTTCTGCGTACAGTACAGAGCATAACAGAGTACAGTTGCAGGTTTTAAAATTTATGGTTTCATTGTGTTTCGAAATATAGCTCGTCTCCTCCCATTGCTATAGAGCAATCTGCCTCCAACCCACCACTGAATCGTCACCAGGCGACAAACCATGCAGCGCAACTGCTATTCACATGCCCCTCACCCGCCTTAAGAAAACCCGATCGGAGCAAATGCACCAAAATATCAGTGTTGCGAGTGAAGAAGCCGTTGGGATCTTTATAACTGGGTTATTGGAATTACACATTGCCCTAACCATTTTGCATTACCCAAGTCCTCAAAGTTCTCTCTCTGTACAGCCAATTAGATTGCATTTTTGTCTCTTTATCTTATACACAAGCTATTTTATATAATAGTATAAAAGCAGTATTTTATTGGATTTTATTCTCAATCATTGAGGAAAAAAAATAGTTTAGAGTTGGATTTTGCTAAGTTCAAAAGGAAAATTAAGAGGAGTTCCTTCATAATTTTGAGTAGCACATGTATTGCATAGTTCTCAATTAGCACATATCATTTGGGTTGAAATAGTTTTGTTGATTTTAATGTTTGGTTTTAGTTTTTTTGTTGTTTCAAAGAGTATCTTATTCAAATTGAATGTATCAAACAACTTTAGATACATCATGGTACATAAGAAGAAAAGATTAAGGTTTTATATGATGAAAATTGTTTAAAATATTTTTTGGAAGTTGTTAGAATATTATTGACATTACTTATTAATCTTCCATGAAAGCTTATAAACATCTTTATTAAATTGAAATGAGTAAAGTATTCAAGTAAGAATGTACAACTCCAAAGATAAATTAAAGTGTGTTCTAGTCAAAGAAATTTTTGTGGATGTAAAGACACTTTTAGAAGATTATTTGATGTAAAGCAAAACCTTTGTGTAATAAAAAAACACATTTTGATGCAAATTTTATTTATATACTTTACACAAAATTCATTTCAAAACCTTTGATAGTAGTGATATTATTTAATATTATGTATTTACAAGTTACATAAACTTATTTTTTGTCCTATAACAATTGATTAGTTTCCTCCATTAGTATAAAATATTTCCACTACATTGACTTTCAAGAAAAAATGAATAATTTTTTCTAATTAATGTTGTTGTTTGAATTTTGCTATATGTGAGAATTTATATGGAATTCAATAAAACATCCAAGGTTATAGCTTAACTATAATTTTATTTACTATAATCATTAAAAAATTGATTCTTATTTATATAATATTTTGAATTATACAAATTATAGCAACATAAATTACTATTAGATCAAAGAATAAAGAAAATATTAAATTGATCCATTCAAATTTTAAATCAACCTACAACATGATTGTACTTGTCTCATTGCACTTTTGCTATAACTTTCATTGCCTTCTTGTATCTTTTTTCCCTGTTTATAAATGTATTTTGGTCTAATTATTCATATTGTGGAAGTTAGTCATGCCTCACTTCACATTTGTCCTAGCCTTTTTTTCCTTTTCTACCTTAAGCTATTTATTAACTTTTGGTGTTCTTTTAACATTGCAACCAATAATTTTTTTTCTCTACTAATTTAAAATATTATTAGTTCTTTATTATGAATAATGCTACCTCTTCCAAAACAATCCTATGAATCATTAGAAGAAGCTTTCAAGCCAATTAATTATTTTAAATAAGCAAAGGATATGCATTCATGAAGCAATGCTTAGTTGCTACAAAAGTCATGTTTAAGTATAATTGTGTTACATAGTATGAATCCTCAAAACAAATAGGAGGCCAATGGCATAGTATGGTATCAAAACATATGCATTCAAGCAACTTCTTAATTGAGCTCTTTGACAGATAGGTAAAGACAATCTATTGGTGGCATATTTTAGTTTGCAACAATGAATTTAATCACAAATGACCATCATCAACAATAATCCAATTGCTTCTCAAATTTAAGCTATCAAGTGTGTGTTTCTTAAGCAAATGCTTCATTTAGGAGTAGCTTCAAAATAAGTATTGATTGCATTACAAATAGAAAATATCAACTTGTATACAATCAACATAGTTATATATGCTTAACTAATTTGTATGGAATCTATAACAAACAAATGCATTTTTGCAAAGGTGGGTTGTAAGATCAATCTCCACTTCTTTCTCTCATAGATATTCTTCACAAAAGTGGAAATTGTTTTGGATATTAGTACAATACTTCCAATAAGATGATGAATTTATATTATGTCTATCCATGTTGCATTAAGTAGAGAAATATCCATATACACTTGTATTTGATTGTACGTACAAGACAAATAGATTCAAGTTGCCAATGGTCAATTATTAGACATATCACTTGGCTAAAAAAACCCTCTATTGCAAATGAAGTGGGGTTGGTAAAAAAGAGCCTTGGAGCAATTGTGGCCAAACTAATATGTTGCTTAATTTGAAGTATCAATATATTAGGGACTTTCACAGTTTGAAATAACATAAGCCTCATCAATAATCATCTAGAATGCAATCAACTTATGCAAAATGATTAAGAGGCTTGAAAAAATTATTGCACAATTGAAGATGGAAAAGAACAAAAACAAACAAAGCAAAAGTAATGTGTGGAGAAACCAACAAAAGTCACGTTGTGGACCAATTTAAGATTTAGGTGGATTGATTTTTATTTCCCAAGAATACTCATGATTATATTGGATGTTGTTTGAATGCAAGAATTTGTTAACATATTGTACAACCAAATTGGACACAAGATTTGAGTTGTGCCAAGTTTTAAACTCACAGTTACATGTTTTTGAGATACACCTCTGATTGTTCTGATTAACTCAGATGACTTAATTCTTTTGCAGGTTTTGTTGCTAGATGACATTTTAATCTCACGAAACACATGGTTGTTTATATCAGTGGAAATAATTCCGTCTTTCTGCACACTAGTAGAAGAAAAAGATATTACATCCTCAATTTAAGAGAGATCTCAAAAGGTCATGTTTTACGATTCATGACACTACCAATTTATCTGACTACATGTCCAGCATTCGACTATGAGATAATGTGTTACTGTGAGAATGTGTTACTCCTTTCTGCATACAAGAAGAGTGAAGTACTTAAGAGAAACTTTGCTAAACTACATGCAGAAGGTATAGTTGGCTGAAAATGCAAAACCAGTTGAGAACTGAGTCAACTATACAGAAATTCATCAGAAGAGGGTTGAAAGCATGCTATAAGCTGTGTGTAGTTGGATGACAATGTATTTTACTTACATCACCACTCATTAAACAAAATCCAGACAATGAAATTATCATCTAAAATAGTTCATTTCCAGCAAAGTGGTAAATATCCTGAACGAATCATGCAATGAAAACAAACCCAAGACATAGCTTGTTCGTTCAAAAAACTGTGGTAACTACAGTTCCCTGTCCAATCTACTAGCTTTCTCCAACTGAAGGCCCGAAACATGAGGTTTTTCCTCATACAGCAAATGAATGCCAGCCTTTAAGCAAAAAAACACCAAGGCATTCCATTATAGAAAAGAACTTCGCTCTGGCGATGGGCAGTAACAATTGCCCATGTAGCCTGAAGCCGTTGGCAGTGGTCGAGGAGCCGTTGGAAAAGTCAAAGGCCTCTTCATGCTGGGTCTTAAGCTTGGGGTTGAGGATGATGTTGAATTGAATCCTGAAAGAAGAATAACAAAAATGAAAAATCCTTGAAACAAGATGCAATATCAATCATTCTACCTCGCTGAATGCATGGATAACCGAATAAGGACCATCATTACAAAATTAGAAAGGTTCATACCGTGTGCGAAATGCCTGTAATGACGCTATAATCACGCTCACCATCCTCCTGAGCTCCAACCGTTCACCTCCTGCTGACAATCCATCAATCATACCAGAAAGACACTCAATCAACAGAGATAACTCAATACACGGAGGGACCTCCACAAAGCAAACATATAAAGCACTCACATGCAAGACAAGTAAAGCAATCTTGATATTTCCATCTATTTACGACTTCATACCTGGGGATATCCTTGCCCGTAACCACCATATGGGGGTTGTTGAGGCACAGGTGCTTGCTGCTGAGGAGGTCCATATGAAGTGTAGCCTCCATATCCCGCATATCCACCCTGCTACGGATATCAAAAATAGATGAATCAAAAAAGCAGCATGATAATAGAATATTATTTCGTAAATAGAATTCCATGAAATTTATAAGATCTGATTCATTCTCAGGAAAACCTTGAGAAAGGGCCCAGCACCCAGTATATCTAGTTCATGAGATAGTGAGATAACCTGGTGAGCAGCATAGCCTTGATTCCACTGCTGTGACTGTACAGGTGGGGTGGGTTGCTGAATAGGAGGTTGTTGCCACCCCTGGGATTGCTGGGCATACCCAGCTTGGGGTGCGAATGTATTCCACTGAGTTTGCCCGCTGTAAGCCGGGGGTCCTGTAACTGGTGCTGTAGCTGTTGCTCCAACGTAAGGCTTGTGAACCTTCGCACGATCGGGCACAGAATTATCTAAAGAAGGTCGCTTCTTGGATTCTACGGTACTTTTAGGAGGAGGAAAATATTCCACATGCCGTGCCTCCGATTTCTTGACATCTTCAACAGAGCCGAAACTATCAACAAACTGCACAGTCAAATCCGGAAATCAGATTTGAAAACTTTCCACAAAGACAATGTTTGTCGTTACCCCACACCAATGTGTGCATTGTCAGATTTGTAGAAGATTATCATCATGACACAGATGAGCAATTCTGCGAGCAAAAACTAAAAGTCTCAGCGAGAGTGCTCCAGGACAAACTCTAATCCAACAAAAACGACAGCAGTTAAGAGAAGATTTGCAGAAGTACTAGACCGTACAACTGAATAACTACCTCAAGGCGAATGATTGACAGTTCTTCTCTGTCGGCTGCCGACAGAACAGAAGATCCTTCTATTTTAGAAGGGGCAATTGCTTTGTCCACCAAAGAATTGACGTACTCAACTTCAGATATTCCAGGATGATGAGAAGCCTCAAAATTGGTCACAGCCTGTGAGAATGTGGAAAGAGATCAAGAGGATAACACGTTAACTCACTGAGAGAAATCACAACCTTCAAAAGCCTCCACTGAATGCGCACCATGGAACCAAAGGGGCATGAAATGACTTCATGCAAAAAGCTAGAAAGCATGCCGGACTGACACGATTATTTCACTAAGAAAAGACGTCATTCTTTACAAGCTCATACCTTCCGATAACGTACACATTCTACATACTCATGACAAGGAAAGAGAATAAAACAACAAGATAAATAAAAACAAGAGGATCAAGCACTATGTATACATTTATGAGTTGATAGGATGATGCTAATACCTCCAACAAAGTCTTGGAAGATGGAAGACTATCCAAAGCTGTACTGTACACTTTTCGGGCTTTCTCTGGACTTTTTAACACCTTCAGAAGCAGACAACCAGTCAATCAAAAGTTGGTAACGTACTTCGAAGAACACCTTGATAATTCATGAATCGCAACAAGTTACAGAGTTATCAACCAAAACTCCGATCGGACATACATAAATTACAACCAACCTGGTCAAGAAACCGAGCGTACTGAATATACAAAACTGCACGAGCCCGAGAATCCTCTTTAATTTTCCCCAGCTCTAGAGCAGACTCGAAAAGAGAGCAAGCAGTATCTCCATTACCCTGCATATACTCCAAGCTTTCAGGAACGGCATCCAAAGATTTGAAGTATAACCATGGCTAAACAGTTGTACGGCAAAATCGACATTACCTCACTAATCAAGTAACCGCAGACATAACTGTAAAAGGTTAAATATTCAAGAGTATGCAGAATAAAAAGAATTTTCTCGGTGATCGAAGATTAAAACCTGACGTTTCTCGAAATTGGCATGCTTCACAATGGCCTCCAGAAGACCCGGTGCAAGACTGTTGCTCAGAACCTCGTATGAGGCACGTGCACCCTTTATATCAGCAAGTTGTTCTTGGTATCTTGCTGCGAAAAGGTGGATTTCTGGGCGTCGCTGCATCCAAACAACACTATCCAAAGTAAGAGCCAGGTCTAGAACATAACGAAGTACAAAACCACAAGAACTCACGTAAATGATATGAGGGAATCTTTCTAAAAGATGCTCCGCAACGTTCAAATAAAATGGTAAAAAAGATCATATAGTTTGAAAATTAAATTAGATAAATAGCGATCTGTGCAAGTAGATAAACAACATGTTGCCAAAAAGATTCTGCTATGTCAAAACCTTCACAAAAGTCGAAGAAGCACGGTGAAGAGCATCAAGAGCACTCTCTATTTTCCCTTCCTCATCCATACGATGGACATAGCGAACCCAGTACTCTGAGTAGTTTGCACACGCAATTAAGCAACGTTCATACAACTTGATAGTCTGGACACCCAAACAAACGTCAATTCGCTTAGATATCTTATGATAACCACCTGAATTTCTTACAAGCGTAAAAGATATACTGGAAAACTATTGAGCAGTACAACCTCAATGAGGAGGCTACAGCAACATCGTTAGTAGAGATACTGCACTAGAGCTCACCTTCTCAATTCCCCCTTCCTTCTCGATAAAATCTAGATATTTGTGCCAATTCCCAAGCTGTGCATCGTCCAGTGGTCTGACGTGAAAGTAAGGCCTGCGGATCGCAATTTCAAAGTCTCTTATCTTGGCATCCCACTCTTTCGAAGTCTTGTAAAATTCTTCTCGCACCGCAACGTATTTCTCGAGATCCTCTGTTCCTGAAGGTTCTAGTGTTACCTCCGCTGGTTTAGCAGGCTCAGTGACACCATCAGTCTCAGGTACGGTGGTGATCTCCTGATCACCCGGAGGAGAATCTTTCGGTGCTGCAGCTGCCTTAGATGCCTCGGACTCCTCATCCGTCATCAATTCGGTCAAAGGATGGCTATACGCGAAGTGCCTAAAACTGTAACAACAAAATGAAGTATCGGCATTGGAGACAGATCTATCAAAAGTTGAAAGAAATAAGATGTGAGAAGGAAAAAGGATAGAGGAAAACGAGGAAATAAAAAGATAAAAAATAAAAACGCACCCTAGCATTTCCCAGCCATCCGGAATGCACTCCTTGACATTTATCTTGTAAACAGTGCACAATTCATCGTAATTTGGTAAAATCATCCAAAGAACATACGCAGAGCAGAAGCTACATGACAGTCATAGTGTAACAACCTTGCATGGTATCGATCTAGTTGCTGAAGAGGAACTTGCAAGATTCGGGTATAGATTTGTGCGACGCGACTCCATTCAGAGCGCATGTGCTCAAACTCCAAGTATTTATCCCAGAGAAGGTGCGAAAGATAGTCTGTACCCACAAACGATATTCCTCGCTCGAACAACCTGAAAAAAAGCACAACAGTCTTATAGCCCTTGAAATGAGAAATCCACCCCCCTCTACCCTTTCAAACTGACTTACTTTGATTAAGATTAGGCCGTCACAGCAGGAAAATGGCCGAGTTGCCAAGTAAGAACTTTCAGTGAAACTTGCTTTTCAGACTTCCAAATAGAAGTACAAATGCTATGCATTTACCTTCCTGCTCAACCACACTACGTCCGGACATGTAGGGGCAATCAGAAGCCCTCTCTTTGCCCTCACATTGGACTCGTACTCTTCCACAGCAGCGTTTTGGACGTAAGATAAGTGCATACGCACATGGCACGGTGCCCTCAACAAATGTCAAGAAGTGAGGGATGATACAATGTCACAACACATAGAAGCACATTCATTTGCTTTATGTCTATGTTTTTTGGAACGCAGTAAGAGCATCATTAAAGCGAACCGAGTGAAAATCACACTGACGTTAACAATCGAGAATATATGTGATTTTCTTCTACACAAAAAGCGTACGGGTTTCAGTTTACGATGTGTCATCCTACGAAGTGGAAACTGAATGCTCCGCCAACATGAAACCATCTCATTGAAGAGATGGCAAAAGAAGTGCAGGATGAAAAGCTGCAGCAAGACCAGGCACGGGTCAGAAGACACAACACACATCATTTCGTTCATTCATTGGAAGTTGTAACAGACAAGACATCCGGAATAAAGGATGGCCTGCGTGAGAGCGTGAATCAAAACACTGTGTGGCTGATTAGAGCCTTCGAACATACCCACGAATGGCTTCCGGGTCTTCAAATTTCTCCATTGCATACGTGCAGTAGTTCATCCACATGTCCACGGAATAGGTCACTGCCTTCACAGCTCGCTCGTAGACGTCCACAACTTTCTCCGAAGAGCCCAACTTCAACTCATGATCAGCATATTTCTTCCAATAACCGTAGCAAAGAGGAAACTCTGCTAAAAATGCATCGTACGTTTTTTCGACTTTAGAGAGAACCTCCTGCAACATCGAGAGCCGGACATATTAGGCGCTCAGCTGACATCATAGCCACAAAGAGTGTTGAAACTATCGAAAATCCCCATGCGGTTCTGTCGCCACGTGCTGATTTAAAATAAGCAAACCTTACCTACATGATGGATTTTCTTTACATCAGCATCGAGTACAGGGAGACGCGTCTTCTCATCAATAAGACACACCATAATGAAAGTACTGAAGTTGTAGTGGGGAGTATATTGCAAGTAAACGAATGTTCTAGTTTTTCCTCGTGTAGGTTAAGGAGCATATGTAATGCGCAATATAGGTCAGTGTGAACTTACCAACTTCTCCGCTTCTTGAATCAGCGAAGTCCATGAATTGAAGTCCGCGGCATCCTCTTTGACAACGTTCCACAAACGCTCTTCCTCAGGAGTAAGTGCTGCAAATGTTGTCCCACTTCGACGTCGGTACTCTTCAAAGCCATTTCAACTCGGGAAAATAAAATCGCATTGGACACTATCCAGGTGGAACTAAACTAGCAGACACATTTAAAGGCATCGACAAATCCAGGGACAAACTATCCAGCTACATCACCCAAGCTAAAGTCTCACAATCACCGCCTGAGTGCTCCGACTAGTGCTTCACCAAAAAAAAAGGAATCAACCATTCAGACACGCACTATCCACCTAGCCATAGAAACCGAATTCAAAAACCATCAACAAAAAAAAAAAAAAAAAAAAAAAAAAAAAAAAAAAAAAAAAAAAAAACTACGCCGAGTCAGTACCTTCGAGATCCACCACAGGCGGCTGCTCCTCCGCGGCCTGCTCCTGCACCTGTCCCTCCATCGCTTCCGAGACATGGCCATTGCCATTGCCATTGCCCTCGACCGCAGCAAACGCATCATTCGAACCACCACCCGCAGCGGCGGCTCCGTGCATCAACTCATCCACAGGGGCGGCTGACACGGCGTCTCCCATCTCCACCTGGTCTCCCATTCTCACCTCCCTTCTGCTGTTCTCTCCTTCTCTACTCCCTCACAGACACTCCCGATTGACAGCACGCACGCACGTCGCTTCCCCTCAAAGCCTGTAGTTAAAAACCGCTCTAGAGCAAAATAAACCGAAAAAACAAATAAAACAAAAGATACACAGGCTCACACTCTCGTCCTCGTCTGTATGCTCAAACCGCGACGCATCACCACCGCAGCAACGCCGCCACGCTCACAAGTCAGTGAGTCAGTCAACAAAGAGGAAGAGGGTGAAGAGGCGAGGGTTTTAAAAATACGGGGGGAGGGGGAGATGGTGTGAGGGAGATGGCACGTAAGTAGGAGTGAGGCCGTCGCGGCAACTTTAGGTTTCGCGATAGGGGAGAAAAAGGCACCACGGAGAATCCAAGGCTTTCGCACCCGGCCCGCTTTTTGAATCTGCCCGGGTCCCGATGTGGGGTTTCCTCTCTCTCACCTGCCCGTTCGAAAATTTCCCTCGCCTTTCGTTTCTTTTGTAAAATGTAGATTCACTTTTTTAGTGACTTTTTCTTCTCTTTTTCTTTTCTTGAACAAATGTAGTTAGTTTCAGCTTTTTATCTCTTGCTTACAAAGGGATCCTTGATTCATGGGTAAAATGTAATAGAAGGGTAGTCATGCTCAATATTGATTTTCATACCAGAAAAATAGATTGTCGATATACAAAATTGAATTTATGTACTGCAACTGTTATTGAGCTTTTATGTTTAATATTTATGCTAATACTAGTATAAATTTTGGATGTTACGAACAGAATAAAACGTGTTTTTTTCTATTTGTAAGCCCTAATTTGATTGTTAAATTTTGTTTTCTTGCATGTACGTATGTATGTGTGTATTTTGAATGATTAAATTATTTTGTGATTTTAATTGGGATATATTTGTGTTTTTGGTTATATTGTGTGCATTGTCATTCATTATCGTGACTCATTATGGTAGTGAGCGGCAAGTAATGACAACAATCCTTGCTACCACTGAAATAAGCGATTGTGGCATCAAAGTCACTGGTATAAGTTCACATCAAGAAATAAATAAATGACATAAAAAAGTCATAAAACAGCATAATGTACTTTAGTAACCTCTAATTTAAATATCCCTAATTACAATGGGGTTTGTGGAGGATTGATAACCATTGGGTGTTAGCTGGTGACTACTCCTTCAAGTTTTCTTATGTTTCATTCCTTTGCTAGACTTTGCATTTGTTGTTATTGGTATTTGGTCAAGATTATTTGTGTCAATGGAAGAAAGAGAAAAGAAGAATGGGTTCCAAGACTTGTCATTTGAAATTGTGTTTTGCAAGATAAAAATGAACCTCATTAAGGCAATCAAAACATGTTTGCACACAGTAAACCCAAGTAATTGTCGTTGTTTCAAAGTATGGCCTGTGAGGTCAGACTATTGTATAAAGAAATTCCAAATTTTACCACTTACACTTGGAACATTGTTGTATATTAAACTCTTAATACTTTAGACAAGTTCTTGGACCTGCCTGTAAAATTTGATGCAGAGATTGAAGCGTAAAAGAAGTAAGCTGGTAGGGTGCTTGGATGCATAATGAAAAACAAAACTACTAAACATACTGAAAAATGAGGGTCTGAAAGGATTGAAACATGTTTAGGTTGTCTGAAGATCACCATGTCCAAATACAGCACTTCAGATTTGAGGGGCTCTATCCAAATCTCACCTCAATCTCCTGTTATTTTTTGGATTATCCACTAAACTACCAATCTACTACTTCCTTCAAAAAGAACTAGGTATCTTGATGTACCCACAAGGAAATTTTGCTCAATTGTGATTTCAGCATGTGCTTGTGATTTGTGTGTGGAGGAGACATTTGTGTAAATTTTGAGTTGTTTTCCTTTTTATATATATATATATTTTTATCATTAAGATATCATTAATTGTTTTAAAGTGAAATAATATGTCAGAATGCCTTGTTCTAGAAACTGGTAATTAGAATTGATGATTAGCTTACAGCACAGACCAATTCTGAACATGCAATTACCAGATGAATAATGACTCCCCACAAAATGGGGCAAATTCTAAACATGCATGATCATGTCATCAACAATAGAGGGTATTAAGATGGCACTTTTGCAAAACCAAATAATTGGGATTCAACAATTGGTATTTCCAGGATCACTCAAAATATCCAATCTAAAATATCACTGTTCAAACTTTTTCCTAAAACTATGACATGGTGTTGGGCAGTGTGGTATGGAGTTAAAAGGAAAGGGAGCTAGGGCAAGCGACGTGACCCACTTTAGATATTTCAAAATCACCCACCTCAACAGGTGGGTGATTTGGTGAAGTATCAAGTGATGTTTCAAAATATCGTGGGATACTTTGAGATCTCATGACGAGTAGATATCACACAAAAAGGCCATGTTTGAATCCCCTAATGTTCACCTTGTTTAGGAAACAATCGCCAAAAAAAGTATTCTATCTAATTATATATTATTAACATTGATAATTATAAATGATTTTAAGTATATTATATATCAGACATGAAACTTCATGGATCTCTAACATTATGGTTGAGATTTTTCAAAATTTCAAAATAACAAATATTATTTTACTCATGTATTTTCAAAAGGTATAAAATTTTCATATGAAGTGATGAATTATTTTATATGATGCACTTCATTCATTAAGTTTTGTTCACAAATTAAAGTAAAATCTAAACATTGCTGGGCAAAAATGGTATGCCCAAAGACCTCATGACCTTTAAAACTTGAAATGACACGTTTCAAACTGTCCCATGTGGAAATGAGAATTTACTTTTGATGAAGCCATTCTAAGAAGAAATATGGATTATAGTGAGATTCTAAGGCGTAGTATTCAAATCACGCAGAGTATAACAAAAGGTATTGATGACAAGATTCATCCTTTAAAATAAAGAAAGGTTTTTTTTTTTTTTTTTTTTTTTTTTTTTTTGTTATTTTCTGTATTATTTTACCATAAATAATCAAATGCTAAGACATTTAGTAATATCAGTTTAGAAAGGCAGAGAGGGAAATTATGGCATTTAATTTTTTTAATCCATCTCAAGGCTTTCTGTGTATTTAAGTCCAGTTTCATGACATGCAACTTTTTATATTCATTTATACCAATGATAATATTTTTATCTATGTTACTTTGTGTATATTTTTATCTAATGATGACATTCAATAACAAAGTAACATAGTTAATAAAATAAAAGTTTATTTTTATTTTTATTTTTATATCTGAAATACGTTAAGGAGTTTATTTATTTCTGAACTAAATATTAAAATATTAGTCTTGCTAATGATCCATTATATACATTTGAATATACGTGTTAAAAAATATGCAGGAAATCAATGGAGGACTATACTTTTTCTCGACCTTTTTAGTGGAAAAATGCTGTACTATGATTCATTCTTTAGATGTCATTAAGTGGGACCAGTTCGTGATGCTATGAATTTGAACTGAACCAAAGAGCTTCAGCAGTTCAGGAAGAATGCTCAGAAGAATAAGGAATGATCCTCCCAGGTTTGTACAAATCAAACAACAACGTTAAAAAGGTGGAGGAGATAATAGTATGTGGGCTGTAATCGATGTTGCAGGGTCGACTCAAAATTCTGCATTTCTTCACAGAAAAAACTTTGGGAACTACGTGGTAAGAGTGGCTCACAGATCCGACTAACAAGACCATCTGGCAGGAACAGTACAAAACCATGCACAGTTGAATTGCTTCTTCAGACAATTTTTTTTAACAAGCATCGAACACTTTGGTGCAACTTAGCATGCTAGTTAATTGTCGAAATAAAATCATTTCCACAGAGCCAAATGACGCTGCACTAATTGACGCTTCGTCCTCAAACTAGAGAGGTCTCATCAAACAAGTAATTGCGACAGGAGCTCTGACATAAGACGGTCTTGCTCCTCTGCCTCATCAACTAGTTTCACGTCTTGCTGTTCCCATCTCGATGCATAAGTTGGACTTGCCTTACTGAAGCAATTTTTCGCAGAATCTCTTGTTGGATCAGAGTGTACTCCAAATGGCAGCTCTCCAAAGACTCCGAAAGGAGAATTAGAAGAAGATTTCCCGTCAAGTGTACTATTGTAAGAAAAAGAATCTGCAGAGGGCATATTTGTTATTCCTTTGTTTGCAGCAAAACTGGTAAACGATGACGAGGGATAGCTCCATATTCCATTGATCCATGGGACAGCACTACCGATGGAGCTCAACGGTGTTTCATTGACAGCTATAACATCCGTCATGCGTGAAATCATCTGCTCATCGAAACCAAATGTGTCCTTCAAGACCGCCGTTGCAACACTGGTAACCGTCGAAGCTGTCGATTCATAGCTGTTCTGTGGATGACTGCATAGTCCCCCAGATACCGCCTCATGATATTCGGTATTTGATATGGAAATTGTACGTTGCAATTGTGACTGATCCCGACACTCCCCAAATTGCGATCCAATTATTGGTCTAGTGTTCCCTGACGAATGTAAATCATCTAGGCCTAAGTATGAATGGTACCTTGCTAGATCAGAAATAAATCCACCGGCAAATGGACCAAAACTGCTCTGAGAATGAGAACCAGTGACAGACCAAGATAAAGGGGAAAAGTTCTGGCCGTCTGCAGTCCCGTTCAGCATTCCGGCCCCTTCACCAATAACCAGGTCACTAGAATTTTGGGAGGGTGGTTGACTAAACGAGTGGTGAGAGGACACAATATTATGCAAGAACCCCTGAAAAAGACACAGATTGATCAGGTTCTTCTCTTGCTATACTTACAGCACTTTGGAACAAGGCTCAAGTTCTTTGTGCACCTCCGCAACTGTAATGGTGAACACAATATCTGTTCGTCACAATAACGAAAAGCAGCCGAAGATCACATAAGCAAATAACTTGAGCACTCTGGAAAAGAAAGTACTGTCAACAAACACTAAATCAACTCAATTACCTGGCTTGATTCTTGTGAAAAGTTGCAATATGAACTTAATGTTCTTAACACTTTCAGAGCTGCATCGATATCACCATCAGTGCTTATAACTGCCAACTCCACTTGCTCCTGCGCCAGCATATTCTCCATACTACGTGAAACATGTTGCATGATAATACTATCCTATCCACTCAGCATATACGTGGCAAATTCACCGCATCTCACCAGAGCAGTCAACTAAATACCATATTTTTCTCAGATTCGGTAAGCAAAGATGGCAAATGATCCACTAGTAAATATGACGAACTTACGAACCTGCGAAAAACCTTCAGAAACCACAACCTCTTTCAACACGTTCATCTCTGAAGTTATGTCCTGAAAACAATAAGTCAACAGTAATATGAACATTAAAACATACATCTCATTGTTGCTAAGAATCAAGATGTCAGCATCTAAACTGTTACCGTCACATCCTCAATTCAAAACGTATTTTTATATCGAGCATCTTATTTCTTCCATTAAAAGAAGACTAGAATAGGGGATATGAACATGGACCACACTAGCCAACCAAGTTAGGGAGCTATGGTGCCCACCATCTTCTGTTCATGGTGTACATGCACATTTTTTTGCATGGAGGGTTCATTCCGCAGAAGCCAATCTAAACATTGCTCCACGTCACTACCACACATTCGTAATGCCAAATTCGACTGCCAATCAAAAAACCCATACCTGCAAATGATACCCAATAGGTCTTAAGAATATGTTCTCAACATTCTGATACAAAGAACCAAAATCAACTAAGCCTATTGTTGAAGAAACTGGAATCCAATCATACAATCATCAACGAAGCAATGAAGATGATTGTACCATCACAACAAGAGGCTATATGACTAGTGCTCTATCAACAATTCTACCAAATCAGAAAAAAGAAATCACACTACAACTTGTTACTCTATACAATCAAGACAAAACTCTTCTCAAAATGCTGCATGATTGTTAGTTACAATCATGTAACATTCAAAGCAAACTAGAATTAACACAAAACAGCATTCAGACTTCTGATAGTGCTCGTGCTATAAGATAGCTGAGCAAAATTGGTGGATACGTTGACACGATGCCGAAATAACTCACTCTTGTAATTGTTTGGCAAGAGATTGAAACTTGTGTTGACGTAGAACACTTGTGATACTTTCACTCCATGGCTTAAAGTTAGTATCAGAATCATATTGCTTAGATTTATATTCAGTCTGTATCATAGTGCTAGCAGCTGAGGTAGCTGCCTGTACCGCAGCGGCCTCCTCTGCTTCTCGTTTTTCTCGTGCTCTTGCTGCACGTTGCAAGTGCTTCTTCTCATTTTTAGAGCGTGCTCTACGACAAATTATGTTAGTTAGACCTTCTCAAACCATCTTCAGAGCAACTCCTAACTGTTGTAATCATGCATCGTATTGAAGAATTATAAAATACAAAATAAGGGAGAAATTTGCAACATACTTTAGTCGACGAACTTCCAAATCATCTTCCTCTCCTACTGCATTTCCTACACGTTCAGCACCTGTAGGTTGTCTAACAACTTGAGGTCGAACAATTGAAGTGGACGAGGTCGGTACGTTCGGGTCCGGTGATGGATTGAGAGTTGCTGATTGCGGGGGTGTCTTTGAGATATTCACCTGCACAGGACACATCAAAGAGTCAATACCAGACATAGCATACAGATGTGGCGTGTCAAACAAAGGCATTAAATAAAATAGTAGTCGATCCTAAAATGCCTGATCACTAAACTACTGTCGATATCATGTGTAATTCCACATGCCTGAAAATTTCAGCACGATTGAATATAAAGTAAGGTTGGTTAGTCTACGTAGAAACACACGTAAAACGATTATTACGTCATGCTGACTGCTGGAAGGTTAGCTAAAGATGTTGACATGTTTCGATGTTGATAGATAAAAAAACGTAACCGAAAAATACCTTGAGCCCATTAAGAAGTTCATTGCATCGCCCACGCGTCCAGGGATTATCAACAAGGGTTGCCTCCACTCCACATCGACCAACTGGAAGCACTTTTCTGGAGTCCTTTGAAAACATTAATTGCCGAGAACCATCATCACTACTTTCTAGATTCTGAGCTGAACGACTGTCAAAATTTGTGGCACTGTAATCCGATCGTCCACTCGCGTAAGTATCATTGTTCTTTACATTTGATCCCCTTTTATTAGCAACTATCGCTGCTACAGTTGATTCTCTTGAAAAAACTTTAACTCTACTTGACGTGGTGATAGTGCTGCTGATCGCACTTACACTTTCACTAGAAATGCTTTTATTCCTAGTTATCAAAGGAGATGTAGATGATCGATTCAGAACTAAAAGCTTACGTGTGGTATCGACTTTATCCTTCTCTACTTTGACAGACTTCGATGCGCTCAAATGCAGGAGGTCATCCTCTTTTTCTTTCTTGACAGGTATAGTTGGTGCCAGTGATGGAAGAGATATTTCAAACAATTTGGCTTTCCTCCGCTTCTTACTGTTATACATTAAAAAGCATAAACCACTTAGGATTGAAAATACTAGCAAGGAAGTGGCAGACCCAAAAAACAATATTCAGGAAGTAGTCCAGACTAATGCTACAACCCAGATAGACCCCATTTTAGAGACTTGAATTATGGATCCTAACGATAGTTGAAAGGTCATCAACACTGCCTCGCAAAAAAAGTTGCAAGCAAGCCATCAGATATGGATTAGGAGTGCACTTAATTTCGAACCCTCACTATGTAAATATTATCGACACAAGTTGACCAAAGACCACCTGGTAGTTAAATCGTGTATACGAAGTACTAATCCTATTGCAGGGCTACTGATTACAATGTTCAGGGAAACACAACATTTGCGATGGATTATTAAGCTATTTTTTCATTCGAAACCATCCAGACATTGCAACACTCAGAAGTACTACCTCGAGAAAGACGCTTCATCTAATAATTGCAAATTTCGCACTTGCTCTTGTGAGAAAACAAAAGACACCAATTGAAAGAGAACTTCTACGCAGCATATTGTGAGATGTTTTGGATGAGAAATACTGCATACCTACTATCATTGCGAGCAAGAATTGGATGTGATTTGATCACCTGTGTGATGCAATACATATCGACTGAGTAAAAAATCATGTTTGATCATCCACACCAATAAATATCAAGCTTATTTATATTTGGAACTACTTAGCTCTAACAAGATAGTCATTGTGTTCTTCACTTAAAAAGAGTGACCTGAAGTCTTCTTATCTTTTCAATCACTGGAGAAAAGCAAGTAGCTTACTCGACCAGGACAAGGTTTGTCACTTTTGGAGCCTTTCCCACACCCTCTTGGGCATTGAAATCCAGTTTTGCGTTTCCTTCAAGCCAAACACAACAACATTCAAGTAACTGCAGAGTAAGGGCATCTCAAACTGGATAGCGACCCAAGTCATCAAGTGAATCTAGACCAGTCTGCAAGCTAGCAGACGCACATGAAATAGCATGTTTCCACCTTAAACTACATCCCGCGATAATTGGGGCCACGCAATAAGATCAAGGATAATTGCAGGCAGTGAGTCATATAACCCTGACACAAAAGCATCGATAGACTTTTCAATCAACAATTAAAAGAAAACTAGATTTGTTGATTCTAAATCCATATATTTCCTCGTAATTCACAAAATCTCAATTAATTATGTCAATCTTCCCAACTATACCTAAATACACAAATGGAGATACATAAAATAACTAAGGAAGCAATGTTGAAAGCAGCTTTTAGAGAACTTGAACTTTTTAGAAAAAAGCCATGCCAGCAGCAAAAACTGATGCAAACAGCATATATATTTACGGGATAACTATAAGTTCTATCAAGCTTAAGTTCAACATACTTGTCAAGACGAATGGTTTTAAGATAAGTTTCAATGCAATACTGATGATAAATTGTTGGTGATGGGCACCCCTCAAATGTGCAAGCGATAGCATTGAGTTCATCTTGCGTACTGTCGCAAACTTCACCACAATACTCGCAATAGCCTTCCAACTCATGAAGAGACAGGCACGCCCCAGGAGCCATGATATTTGCAGGTATTAGCCACGAGATGAAGTATTGAAAGGAAGAGAAAGGCCAGGGAAGGTGAAATTCTCAAGGTCAGAGAGTTCCTCTGAAGAGCCGAGCACAAAAAGGAAGGATTAGTAACAACATGCTGAAGAAGGACAAAGAGTAGGTCTAGAGAAAGAATTTATCACAATATCTATCTATCTATATATATATATATATATATATATATATATATATATATATATATATATATTTCTTTGCGTGAATTCATCTTAAGAAGGGCAAGAAAGTGAACAGTTCATTATTTAATCCCCCTGGATAAACGAATATATGAATAATGCTTTCAATGTAGTGTTCTTTTTTAGACGTGTCCATAACGAAGCCATCCTTAGCACTTCAAGATAACCTGAATGCAGATTAAACAGCCAAGCACCACATACTTGAGTACAATGGCAAGTTAGCTGAAGATATAATCTAACAGTACTCATAATGCTCGGAGAGTCAACTTACATAAAATCTTCGAGTGCTGTTGACAAATCAAATATGCCCAATGAAAAAGACCAGCACAGGCTGACAAGATCTAAGACTAGATAAGACTATATACTTGAGGTCCTACACCAGATAAACCTGGGAAAAAACTTCTACACTCAGAGATTATACAGGCAATGTGCTAGGGTTTGCAACAATTCGCTAACTCTAGAATAAGGCTATGGTATCGAAGCACTGTATTCATAACTGATCACGTCACCAACTTTCTCCAATTCTCTACGTGAATCCTGTTAGCTGTTGCTCAACAACACCAAATGTGTTGGACAGTACACAGGTGGATGAATAAAACTGATCAAACAAAGAAGATTTTCTTGTTGCACCACTATAAACCCCGAGGCACGTATCACGCACATTTTAGTATAGAATAAAAGACTGCAGTTCAGAATAAGGCAAGGAATAAGCAACAAGCCAAGATCTGTCAAGAAATGAACCTTTCACAGCTTAACTAATAGTCGAGCTAGTACCCTTTAAACATCACATACCCCAATTTCTGACAAGACCTCAATTTAGCTCGTGTAGCCACTTACAGACAAGTCGAGTCGGGGTAGAAGATGAAAAGACTCCTTGCACCCGGAAAACAAGGACATGATCACCAATGTCAAACAATTTAGCAAATCACAATAGTAGAGCAATTTAACTCCGCAGAATTAAAGCATGGAAAAGTAGCACGAATAAAAAAATATTCGCAATCATGTAGGTCTCTGACCAGGCCATGCCCTTGACATTAATACCAAGGAGCACTTTTGAAACGTGAGGTGCTCAATGCGAAGTTCATGGACAATCATCTCCACTATTTTCTCACGTATACCGTGAGGAGACACCTGCTACACTGCATCTGCCTGCTGCCACACCTCATCTAGCAAGAATCTCGAAAAAAATCACAATAAAAGTTCATTACACACGAGACTTCAATACAGATGAATGTAAAATGGTCAAATAGAAGAGAAATCGCAGGATCGGCCCTCGGAAGCTCACGAACCAGCCTGGATTCTGTAGTTCGGCGGCAGAATAGCATCACCACTGCGAAGAAACCTTACAACACGTTCCAACATTAAAAGTTCCATGAGCCCTGTTCCTCACACGACGACCTCGATGCAAACCAGGGTTGTAAATTCCCTACCTAAAAAGCATGACAACATCTAATGCAAGGATAGTAAGCTAGTGCGACGACAACGCTGATCTGCTACTGCTACAATCAATTACTCACTCTCAAATTTTCCATCAACAAAACTTTAAAAAGAAAAAAGAAAAGAAAAAAACAACCATACGGACACAATTGACCTCAGGGTCGATACCAATATTGCGATGACACAAAACTCAACAGAACTCGAGAGGAATTCCGTCGAGATCTACGAGCACGTTAACTAGACCTGAAATCCACGCACCGCATCGGATCAAAACGGTAGCTCAATGTCCACCACCCTAACCTCACATAGAGTTCCACCAACCCTCCACAATCGTCGTCCTCATCCTCAGAAAAACCGATCGACCTACCTGTAGAAACCTCCACCGTTCTTCTGCTTCACCAGCTACAAAATTAACATCGCACACTAAAAAACAAGCCTCGGAACGCCAGAACGGAGTTCACACACCAGCAGTGAAAAAAACAACGAACACGCATCAATGGACGAGGCCCTCGAAGAACTGGAACTCGGCTGCGAGAAACAGTGATGGTCTCGCCTCTTGGAGACTCGGGGAGAGAGGCAACGTTCCCATTCCCGTTCCCTACAATAATCACAACCCTTCCGCTGTGCACGTTCGCGTGAACTCGTTCCCGAAGAGAATTGAACGCCCTGGGGACGTGAACAATGCATGTTCTCATGTTCCCACGTCGATTCCATTGTCCAGTTCGCCGCAACCGCGCACGAGGTCAATGGCACCGCACGAACTTTTACGTCGACAATTTTCAATGGACGAAGCTTCTGTTGCTTCGTTCGTCGGACGACGCTCCGGCTGCTGGCTCACCCATTGGCCTCATTATATATTTAAAAGCATGAATTCTTGCCTGCACTAATCACACTAAACACGTGGAATCATGTGGTTCATTACTGTAATAATAATTATTATTTTTGCAGCATTTCATTGTTCATTGGTTTAAATAATAACAAATGAGGCTTTTGATATATTTGACTCTTGGTAGAGTTTTTCTTCAAAAGTTTTAATTCTGATAAGAGTTGTGATATTTGTTTTGATTTGTAATGAGATTGATTAATTATGTTTGACTCAAAAAATTTATATATTTTCTTGATTGGTATTTTTTCGGATGCATTGTTTGCTAAGTGATAGATAAGCTATAATGTTAAGAATTACAAAATAAATCCAAGAAAAATATCATATATATATATATATATATATATATATATATCCTATAAATATGTTGAAGTATCAAAAATATCCATGTATTGTTGATAATAACAAATATATCTCTCAAATTTGTGATAATAATAAAGGTATCTTCATTGGAGATAAGGTATTACCAACATTCTTTGTTTAGTCATCATCTAAGGTCCAAATTGCAAAGTCACACACATTTCACCACATTCATTTTTCAACCCTGAAAACAAATATAAACGGGGCTTATTTTTAGAGCATTTTTTCAATCTTATAAGTTCACATCATCACTCAAGTAGTAGAAGTGGTTTGCCCATCTAGAAGTTAATTTGGATGCATTCAATTTTATAGACCTATATCTTCACAATATCATGCCTCTATTAGTCTACACTTTAGAAATGACATATCCTTATTATGTAACTTCAAGTAAGTCTTTCTCATGTTCTACTTGTACATTTGCAGCTTTGGCAGTATTTTGCGGAAGCTTTAGGTGTAGCTTAGCTTGTTGGTTGGTCCAATATATAGAAATATGTTACAAAATTAAATTTTTTAATTGAAGGAGATTGAAGTAAAGGCAAGGGGAACAAAGAGGATTTGGAATAGTCAACTGCAAGTGGAAGTAGTTGTATGGCGAGTTAGTATAGTGAAGAGCATTGTAAGGGAGAGGAGAGGCATAGTGTCACTAAGAATTTGTGATGTAAGGTATGGTCTACAAATTGATGAAAGAAAAAGGTACAAGATTTTTTGAATTCTTAAAAAGCAAAAAAAAGATGTGTCGCAAAATCTATGTAGTCCATAGTCTATGTCCTAGATAATAACTAAATAAAGAATATTGGTGATTCTTTATCACCAATAAGAGCCTATTTTCTATTATTATAAATTTAAAGAGTACATTTTTTATTATTAAGAATATGTCATAGACATATGCATATAAACTAATAATTACTTATATGATTTAGATAATAGTAGATAAAAGTATGTCAATTCCATAATATCTTCTATAGAAGCTTTTTAGACACTTCATAGACATTGCTTTGACTTTACAGATGTCTTTAATTGATTTTTTAGATTAGAAACCTGGTCAACAAGTTGGCCATGTGCCACACATGTCGATAGCTTGAAGAACAAGTTAATTATGTGGCCCACATATTGAAAACTTGCCTTGTAAGCTAAGGCATGTATCATGTAAAGTCAACACATATTAGAGGTCCTATATAACATTGCCACATAGCTTTTAGTTAGATAATATATATAGAGGCAAGAGTAAAGCCTTCTTCAGTCTTGTCAATTCCTTTCTTGCTTCTATATTTACTAGTTTAGAATTAAGAGTCTTTAGTTTCCTTGTCATTTGACAATAGCCATTTCAGTTTCTTTTTAATATACATACTACTTAATTTATATTTTGCCACTTTTCTTTCGATACAATTTTTTGAAATTAATGCATCTTCTTTTAGTTCATGTCTTTAATAGATTTACAAGTGTATACTTAGAATATTAAAGCTTTGCCTTCTCTTTATTAAGAGTGGATTATTATTTTTTTTATAAGACATAAGCGTATTAAAAAATATAGATTATTTTCTTTTGAATTAATATTATTCTTAGTATCTTTTTTTTTTTTAAGTCCCTTCTTCTATTTAGCTTGAGCAATATTAGACATTTATTTTTTAAGTATTATCATGGCAGAGCTTCTTGAAATGAAGAGTGTAATGATACAAATACAAGAGCAATTGATGCTTGAGATGCATCAATTCAATTTATCACTACAAGGAGCAAGAGGAATGATAGGAAGTGAAGACGTAGATATGATTGGAGGTGCTTCAACATCTACACCTAATTATGTCCCTTTTCCTATAGTAGAACATCCTTTCGACACCAGAGAATTAAGAATTGCCTTGTTTGAAAAGTTTAATGGGATAAGATCCAATTTTTGAGGATTTATCAATCAAGTACAACTTGTGATTGAACTTCAATCCCAAAGCTATTCAACTCCAAGATCACAAGTTAGATTTATTAGTATACTTCTTTTAGATTAAGCATTATCATAGTTTTCATCTTTTTTTGAATGACAAGATCCAATATTACATAATTTGGAGGCTTTTTTAGTGAAGTTTCAATCCATATATGAAAAATATGATGCAACTCGTCTTGCAACCAATAAGATCTATATTTTACAAGAAGACAATCAATCTATAATATTATATGCTTCACAATTTTATTAATTTGCAACTAATATCAAGTAAGATAATGCTGCACTGATTATTTAATTTTTGTATAGATTATAATATGAGGTAAAGAAATTGATGCTCAACTTATTTGATCCTCAAACATTGAGTCAAGTAATTAACTTTGCTGTAAAGTGTGACAATCAACTTTTCAAATTTTGATCTGAGAGTCAGATAAGTAGGCCCCAACGTTACTATAATTTAATAGCAATATCAATGCCTCTTTAACACATACATTCAGAAGTAGAGGATATTCAATTGATGTGATATGTTTCAAACCTCTTACTGAACAAAAAAAGTCTCATCGCAGTTAGAAAGGATTATACTTATATTGTAGAGAATCTAAGCATACTGTTCAACATGATCCAAAGAAGCAATGCAATTATAAAATGAAGAGTACAAATGTCAAAGAAGATAATATATCAAAAAATAAGTTTATCCGGCTACAATAGGGACCGCGCAGTTTGAATCTTATACAATACCTAATGAAGGTCATATCTTCTCCTCAAAACCCTCTCCTTATTTTACATTAAATATTATTTTAGGACCTATATATTACAAAGCCTTTGTCTTATTAGATTTAAGAGCCTTAGCGTATTTCTTAGATAAAGAATTACATAAAAGACTTAACATATCTTTAGTAAAGAAAATTAAACATGTTCATGAAGAAGTCATAGATGGTTGTCTGTTGTCTTCTGAAGATGTTATTTACAAAATCATTTCTATAGAAATAATAACTAATGGTCATAATAGCTTTGTAGTATTTAATATCATTAGATCTCCCTCTAATCCAATTATTTTAGGTTTATTGTGGTTAAAAAAATAGAATCCTTGAATAGAATGGATTTCTTCAACTCTTGACTTCTCTAAAAGTAAAACTAAGAATATACATAATCAAGTAGAAAATTACAAGTCTAGTACAATTAACTTATGTTTGTAGGTGTAATAGCTTTTTTGCATGATGCAAAGGAAGGATCACCTTGTATCATTTATGCTACACCCATTTCTAATGGTGCAAAGACTTCAAGTGGTATTTCAAGCTAATATAAGGATTTTTAAGATATATTTGAAAAAAAGAATGCATATACTCTTCTGGAACATTGTCTCTATGATTATTCTATTGATTTTTAACAAGGAGTACAACTGCAATTTAGATCAATCTACAATTTATTACAAAATGAGTTGACCAAAGTCAAAGAATATATTGAAGAGAATCTAGCCAAGAACTTCATACGCCATTTCAAATCTCCAACAAGAGCCCCAATTATATTTGTAAAGAAAAAAGATGGATCATTACAGATGTATATAGATTATCAAGGACTCAATAAGATCACCTTCAAGAACACGTATCCACTACCTTTAATATGTGGACTTTTTGATCAGCTGAATCAAACTAAGATCTATACAAAAATAGATCTACAAAGAGTATACAATCTGGTATGTATCAAAAAAAGAGATGAATAGAAGACTACATTTTGAACCAAGTATGGACATTTTGAATATGATGTCATGTCTTTTAGACTTACAAATGCGCCAACAGATTTTCAACATCGTATAAATGATGTTTTTAAAGAATTTTTGGACCATTTTATTGTTTATTATCTAGATGATATCTTGATCCATTCTAAGAACACAAAAGAATATGAACTTCATATTTTTCATGTCTTACAAAAATTAAGAGATGCGAGACTCTATGCCAAGATAAAAAAGTGTGTATTCCACACTACTCAAGTTGGCTTCTTAGGTTATATCATTTCAAACGATGGAATTATGATGGATCCAGAAAAAGTTCAAATGTTTATAGATTAGAAGATCTCAAAAACGGTCTAAAAATCTCTAATGTTTTTTGGGATTTGCCAATTACTATTAGATCTTCATCAAAGACTTCTTTCAAATTACAGCTCTACTTATACATTTGACTTGTAAAGACAAACTTTAATGGAATCAAGCAGCAGAAGCAACATTTAAAGCTTTAAAGACAACCTTTGTTTCTGTACCAATCTTGTATTACGTTGACTTCTCTAAAGGATTCTTTATAGAAAAAAACACATCAAACATTGCTCTGGATGCATTATTATTACAAATGGAAATAGATGAGAAACTTCACCTAGTAGTTTTTTATTTAAAGAATTTTTTAGCAGTAGAGATTAATTATGAAATCTATGACCAAGAGCTTCTTGCAATTGTGGATTCTTTCCAAGAATGGTGCCATTTTTTAGAAGGCACTTTTAGTCTACTTATCGTATATACAAATCACAAGAACCTTGAATATTTCATGTCATCTTGTGCTTTGAATCGTCACTAGGCTCATTGAAACATGTCTTTGTCAAGATTTGAGTTCAATATCACTTATTGGTCAAGAAAACAATAAGGTTTGTTTGATGTCATTTCTAAATGCTCTTATCTTGTACCTAAAGAAGGAGATGCAACTTTTGATTAAAAAAAGATAATTTTATTGAAACTAGAACAATTTCATCTTCGAGCAATAAAATTAACATTAATTATTGATTCAACTTTTGTTAAAAAAATTCAATTATATATGTCTTCTAATCCACATGTTTATGATATCAAGAATACTTCTTTTAAGTCTTATCATACTTCTAAGTTTGAATTCAAGAACAACCTATTTTATTTCAAAGGACGGCTATATGTGTGAGAAGAAGAAGCACATTTATGTATTCTTCAAGTATGTCACAACTTTCTAGCAGCATGACATTTTGGATACAACAAGACTTTGGAGCTAATATCTACAGATTTTTGGTGGCTACAAATGTGGAAGGCTGTAAAAGACTTTATTCAATCATCTGATATTTGTTGAAGATCAAAAACTCCTAGGCATTGATCTTATAGACTTCTTCAACCATTACCTATTCCAAAACAAATATAGTCTTCTATTTCTATGGATTTTTTTATGAATCATCTCTCAGGATCATAAGATTCTATATTTGTAATAGTAGATCATTTTATCAAAATGGCTTATTTTGTACTATGCACAAAATCTATCACAAGTGAAGAAACTGATAAACTTTTTTTTGATAATATCTATCAATATCATGGATTGCCAAAAGATATTATATTAGATAGAGAGACTCAATTTATATTAAGATTTTGGAGAATTCTTTTTAAGATTTTAAAAATGGATATAAAGCTTTCTTTAGCCTTTCATTCTCAAACTAATGGACAGATAGAATATATAAACCAAGTTGTTGAACAATACTTAAGATGTATCATCAATTATCAACAAGACAATTAGCAAACCCTCTTACCATTGGCAGAGTTTGCTTATAATAATACAATGTATTCTTCTATGTAACAAACACCTTTCTTTGCCAATTATGGTTACCATTGATGATTTGACACTTTTGACTTTTCAAAAGTTGATAATCATATGACAAAAGGTTTGGCAAATTATTTGTCAAAGCTACATGCAACAATGAAGGTGGAATTAAAGGAAGCTCAAGAACAACAAAAGATCAATATGGATGCCTATCAAAAGGAACAACCACAATTCAATATAGGTGATAAGGTGTGGTTGCTTCAGCGTAATATGAAGACTACTTGTCTTTGTGATAAATAAGACTATTGCAAGCTTGAACCTTTTCTTATTTGTGGACAAATCAATCCAGTTGCTTATCGGTTACATCTACCAAAGGTAATGAAGATCCACCCTGCCTTCCTTATATCTCTTCTTGAACTATACAAAACTATAAAGATAACAAGAAGAAGACAAGCTCCACCTCCTCCAATAGAAGTGGACAATAATGAAGAATTTGAAATAGAAGAAGTTCTACACCTAAGGCAGCGCCAAAATAAATTGAAATATCTTATCTATTGGCGTAGATATGATATTAATGAATGCACATGGAAGCCAATAAAGAATCTTGCAAATACATCAAAGGTGATGGAGGCTTTTTATTGACAACATTCATCTAAATTAAGATGAAGAATAATTCAACTCAAGAGCTTTCATTTGCAAACTTACCAGATGAGACATTGCAATTGTTACATCTTTTAAGACGACAAAATTGACATGAAGTTCCTCAAGAACGACATGTTTTTCTTCAAATAGACGACAAGATACAACGTATTTAGTATCATGACCTTAGAAGAGACTCTTGATGTTTGGTGATTTTATTAGAGGTAGGAACAACTCCTGACGGTGTTCCAAATGTTTTATATGAATGAAGTTACAAAGCCTTCAACAAAGATCAAATAACATGGTGGTCTTTCTGCCTTGGTATAGCACACTATTGATGGCTGAGAAGGCCTATTAACTATCTTTGAAGAGAACAAAGATCAAAGTATGTGGCAAATATAATTTGCTGCATCTTAGATTTTCTCAACATATAAAGATCGCTCCTCATGGAACTCGTTCCTAAAAAGAGGTGTAATGTCATGGACATATACATGTAAACTAATAATTATTTATATGATTTAGATAACAATAGGTAAAAGTAAGTCAATTCCATAATATCCTCCATAGAAGCTTTTTAGACACTTCATAGACATTTCTTTGACTTTATAGATGTCTTTAATTGACTTTTTAGGTTAAAAATGTGGTGAAGAAGTTGGCCATGTGCCACACATGCGTGGACTACATAGCTTAAAGAACAAGCTAACTATGTAGTCCACGCATAGAAAACTTGCTTTGTAAGCTAAGGCATGTGTCATGTAAAGTCAACACATATTAGAGGTCTTATAAAACATCATCACATAGCTTCTAGTTAGATAATATATATAGAGGCAAGAGTGAAGCCTTCTTCACTCTTGTCAATTCCTTTCTTGCTTCTATATATACTAGTTTAGAATTAAGAGTCTCTAGTTTCTTTATCATTTGGCAATAGCCATTTTAGTTTCTTTTTAATATACATACTACTTAATTTCTATTTTGCCACTTTTCTTTTGATACAAATTTTCCAAGTTTATGAATCTTCTTCTACTTCATGTCTTTGAAAGAATACATGGATATTTTTGATATTTCAACATATTTGAGGAATATATATATATATATATATATATATATATATATATATATGATATTTTTCTAAATTCAAATGTCACAATATTATCAATTTTTTATTATATCAAGTTGTAAGCTTATTTTTGTACAAATATTATAATTGATAAGTAATAATTTGATGAATATTTCAACAATAAAAATCATATTTTAAATTGTATCATATCATTGAAGCTTGTAGCTTCATTTTAGTTAATAAATAAATTGATTAGAAGATAACATGAAGGAGTTTAGATTATAATTGTCACAAAAAAGTGCCCACTTTTATTCGTAAAGATACTAAGATTTGAGGTCCTTCAAATACATTAAAGATAGTTCAATTTTATTTTATGAAATTTATACTAAATAAATAAAAATTCAATTAAATATCAAATTTCTTATTTAAAAGATGACATTAATAAGATATTGACAATAAAGAAGCATAATTTAAAAGGTTTTTTAATTAATTAATTTTTTTAATAATTATATATATAATTATTAAATAAATTTTATTTAAAAAAATACCTAATATATCATTAATATAAAACATAAATTTCTTTGGAAACTAATAGGTGAGTACCTCCTTTTTATTGGAAGGACATCTCCATGACACACACACCTATATGCACACAATAAAACCCTTATTTATACAAGAAATATTTAGGTTAATTTTACAATAAAATATTCTTTGAAAAAAATCAATAAGATTTTTTAAAAAAATAAAAGAGTTATATGAAATGTGTTATGAAATTTTTAAAAATTTAATCAACCAAAAAAAGTGAAAAAGAAAAAAAGAAAAGCCATAAGCCATTGCACACAAATCTTTTAGTATAAATTTACTCTAAATATTTAGTGTAAATGAGAGTTTCACTATGTGAATACAAGGGTGTGTAACATGGAGGTGTTTATGCAATAAAAATAAAAATAAAATAAAAAAAAATGGTTTTCCATTTCTTATTTTCAGATTCAAAAGTTATTTAAAAGTTACAGATGGTATATGAGAATAAATTTATCTATTCTAATAATAATAACAATTCTTTTTTTAGAAATAGCTAATATGTTTCTTTAAGAACTATTGTTATACATTTTCATAACATGTCTTTTATCTTATTTTAGTTTTGATATTTTCCTTGATATTTTGCTTGATGTTATTGTTGCACTGAATTTCACAATTACTTCACTCTATTAATTTATTACTGAAATAAACCTTGTTGTAAACCCCTGGTGCAAGAAGTGTGCTCTAAAGCACATGTAACCAACTAGGACTTTATGACTCCACACCATTTTATTACATTCTATTCGATTGTTGATATATTTATTTATTTATTTAATTACTTGTGCTCAAACCACGTCCCTAACCTTGTGGATTTAGATATACAAGGGCTTTGCCTTGATGATTTTTGACCTCATGCTTGCTCTTCGGATTGTATTGCAGAAGTGATGTACACACTCAGCTTGTCAAAGTCTAGTGTGTCAGCATGGATGGATTAGGGCTTACTTAAAGGTGTGAATGCAGCGAATACAGGCTATGTTCACAATTGTCTTAATATTGGTGTACTTTATGCGGCAGGTTAGAGACCATTTTCATGTGCAACTGTTTGCATTCTATTCAGTACAAACAGGGCAAATTCATCTAAAGAATAGAATGTTGTATCTGTCTTATCTATATGAGTTCTCGTCCACAAAACCATCGCTCGAGGAAACCAGGACAAGAAAGAATAGTGACTTTTACTCAAACAGAGATGGATGATTCAAATTTTTAAAAAAGATAATTTTATTACTTGGTAAAGTACAGTACATTGCAATTGAGGCAGAAACAGAACATACACCTCCTCCAAAACATTTGTGGCAGTTGCTAACAACAATACCTGAACCTCATTTGCGATGTCTGTGTTAGTCAAACTAAATGGTCAGGACATAGAACGTAACCCCGAAACCTATACTGATGTTTAACAAAGCCTGTGTCACGCCGTTTCAATTCATAGTTTGAAAGAGCAGAGAATGATCAATACGCCTACCCACTAAACCGCTACAGACATGCTGTCGATTCACTCCAGCTGAAATATTTTACATTTACGACTCAGGAATCACCAAAAACAATTCGGTTGAATTCCCACACTGTAACCACCCGTAATTGACCCTGGTGGATAACGTACATTCTCGAGAGAAATAGTAGATCAGTGTCCAATGCGTGACGGCAGCTTGCACTGATGAGAAGTCCTGTCCTCGAGCAGCGCCACCTAAAATCTAGCCAACTCAAGTGCTACGAGGGCTGTACTAAGCATATCATGAGGTAGATAAACCTTGCTAGTTAAGTTCCAAAAACACTAGCTACTACATAATTCTGAATGAAAGCAATGTGAAGTAAGATCATCTCACGGGTTGAAGTCAGTAAATCCAGAGATGGAGTAGGTATTTCCATGGCCAGATGACACGGGAATAACCGAACCTCTGGCTGCATTACAGCTAAATCACTAATTAACAATCGTCAGTTAATACGATGGGCAAATTCATGAAGAAGTAACATCAGGTTTTAGCAAAAACCTGGGCTTCAAAAGATCCTCTAGAGCGTTAGTTGATCCACCCTTCGGGAGTCTACTTGAAAGAAAAACATTCCTATGATACAACAACTTGTCAGTATCCTGAGACTCCTTGGGAGATTCCGAATCCAACTCGTCGATGCTAATAAAATCTGCTCGTTCATCACCTGATTCTGTGACCTTGTCACCCACATCATTAACAGCACACAAGTGTTGTCTTTGATATTCTCCCTCAGCTGATGCAGTGGGTGCAAAATACCTACCTTCTCTTTTAGAACCTATGTTGTCTTTTGATGTAGATGTAGGCTGTTTTTTCTTCTTCGGATGACGAAGTTTACAGGTACTTGATGAGCATTTCCCTGTCACAGCATACTGAGGACACACATACGTGTGCTTCTTGTTGCACTGCCACAAAAATACCAATATTCAAACCATCTCCCTTAATATGCTGGATACTTAAAATAACCAACATTTTCGAAAAACCACACAAATAACTAACACTTGCATAAACTATGTAACCATGGATTCACAAACATTTCTTTGAGAATTATCCGCTTGATCTCTTTGCCCATATATCCTCCTAACTAGCAGCAAGCGTCTGAGAGGATGACAAACGATCCTCGAACTAACATCAGAACTTAAGAGGGATCAAGAACAACACCAGATCTGCTGGCAGATAATGATGCTTGGCTTTAAGTCCAGAGTTTTTCGAAGGAATCAACTAACGAACGAAATCAGGTCACGAAATAGTCACGAAATGTTTCTTCTTCACTTACATCTTGAAACCAGTGAAAAGTGTATTGTTGATGATAGTTTGCCTTACCATGTCACCGTCAGAACAATAGCCTTGGAGGAAGCCCTCACAAATTGGAGCTTTAGGATTGACGTTGACATGCCTGTAAGGACAATTTTCATTTGTGCATAGACCTGCAGAGCCAGCATAAGCTCATTCCACAGATAGTAAAGCCACATCAAAACTCTACCAAAGAAAATTAACCAAACATAAGCTCAAAATGATATCATCGACGGGTGATAATGTTATCACATAAAACTGTCGATTAAACAGGGTCGTTGAAAGCCTGGAAGGTTAAAGTGCAAAAGAACGACTTGAACAAACAATTCACCATCTGTTCCTAAGCATAAAATCAGAAAATAAGCCATACCTTCAAGGAAGTATGAGCAGTCTGACATGCGTTCTGGAATAACCTGCAAGAGAGGATTGAGAAGAATGGGAACGAGGAATAAAATAGAACGAATGTACCACTATAAGATTTACTTGCACACAACATCACCAAGATCAGTGGTCTAGCATACGTTCCTTCTCCGCATCAAGGTTGATATCATCACGATCAGCGGTGGCATGAGACTAATACCGCCTCAAGGGATAGAGCAGGAACACGACAGTAGTACCAAAGAAAGTGAAAGTACTGCTGATAGACTAGCTCTTGTGCTTGAAGAGCCTGACCAGACCAATTCATACCTTATGGGTCAAGCGGCATGCCGGATCTGAGCAAGACCCTCTAAGAAATTTTGTGCAAACAGCCACCTTTTCAGGATCGTGAATATAGAGACATTTACCATCCCCCCTTTTGCATACACCAAACCTTGTATAGTACACACAAAAGGCTTGCTTTTTAGCTCTGCGTAATCTAGCGTTGTGAAGGCTCCAGCGAACTTTCTCACTTGCAAACACACGGGCAGTTGTCCTCGAGTCCCTGACAAGCTGATTGCCAAATCCTTTCCGTACATACCTGCATTTTGAAATGAAATTCTCGTCTAAAAGTCCTAATCCAGAATGCAATATGAGCTTCTACTTGATAAGATGATGAAAGTCAACTAATATACTCTTTAACATTGGGCAATGAGCTTCAAGTTGCCAGACCAGAACCATTCAATAATAGATTAGAACAATAGTTTCTGGATAAGGAGCTGTGAAAGACAAATGTAACTTAGCGGACATAACAAAAACTTATGACAGACATAATAAAAACCAGTGCTACAGCGAGAGACTCTGGGAAAAATGACAAGCACTCACACAGCTCCGCCAATTCCGCCAGATTCCACCGAAGAAACCGAGGAAGGTTCAACAGACCCTGCAAACAAAGCATCATAACATTCTTATCATACTCTTGGAGCAAAGATCCCAAGACGCAGAAATCATTCCAAGCTCTTACCAATCTGCATTGACGGCTTCAGACCCTTGGGAAGTGAATAATTAAACCCGGAATTATATATTTAGACAAATACAACTGGAACAATGTGTTTCCCTTCTCGGCAGTATACACAGCCCCTCAAAAGGAAAATTAGAGTATGCATCAAAGAATCAATATCACCTCAAAACATGCAACCAGCCGAAACAACATAATTTAGTCGATCTGCAGGTATGATAACTAAAAGCTGCTAATCAACTTGAACACTAGCAAAAATATCAGATACTGCCATTGGAACATTATTTAGGGATATTGAACAGGTCAAATGCAATACCTGAGTAGAGCTTTGCTTGATTATCAGAATCCTGCAATGACCTTCGCTCAACTCTGGCCTTTGCAACCGCTTCCTTCTTAACCCTTTTCTCTTTTTCTGCTTCAGCAACTACTTTCGTTGCAGCCTAAACATCGAGCACATGCAAATAGAGAAAACCAAGAGGAAGTTAGAGCACATCACTTGGCGTATAAATGCACTATGGTCAATAAATAATCAAGGAAAGAGGCCATTGAATAATATACCTCACTAGCAAGTATGGATTGTGTCATGAGGGATTTTGTCCACTTCAAGTTTGCCCCACTCCTGCTAACGACACCTGATCGGTGGAGTGAAAATCCATCTGCAGATCGAGTGTAGACTGGGTGCCCTGATCGATACTTCTGTAGCTGATTTCTGTTACAAGAGAAACGATGACAAGGTGTCACTACGGTAAACATCTCAAACCGAAAGTGTATGCTGGAGTATTTTCAGGTATGAGCCAAACTGAGCGCACACAAATGTATGATATCCAGTCGAGATGCCTGAGATATGTTCACACCTTCCACCACTGCTACGACTCAAGCAGAGGACATCTACATGCCAGACACAGCTAGATAGTTACTATAGTGACTGGATGAAGCAAACGACATATTTTCCGTGGTTGATTGATTCGTCATCGAAAGGAAAAAAGACACCGCAAAAAGAAAGACGCAATACTAAGACGTCGATGATCATGAAAGTAAATGTAATTACATGAACACATCAGAAGTGCGACATTAAAAAGCTAGCCAAATTTCAGCACCTGTTCTTAGACATGTTGCAAAATGAAAATTTCACTGAGAAAGATATCACGAGGTAAAGAATCTAGGGCAGGAGGGACAATAAGTAAAAGAACAAGAGACATAGAATAATTTGAGCTAAAATGTGTGTGCAAATCATGTATGTTGCAAATGTGATGGACATAAATCTGAGAGTGTGCACCAAAAATCACTCTACAAAAACTATGCTGTCTAGTTGAGATCACACAACAGTTTACACCGTTGTGAGTAGCTCTATGCAGCACTTAAAAGCAAAGAAAGAACGAAACAAGCACTATCCCCGAAGTTCAGATGTTGAAACAAAAGACTCAAATTTGCTCAAAAAATGCTAGAATATGGTTGATGTTGACCCTATATCAAAGCTTACATATTTGGGAACCAATACGAACTGTCAACGCCTAGTGTTCATCAAAATAATAAATAGGACAAGACAAATGTACGAGACTGACCTTATATGGAAAAATAATGCACCCATTTTCCCTTCATGTGGAGGTCTACCACGTCGCAAGCGTGGTGCTACAATTTTCGCCCTTTTCCAAGGAAACAGAGGATATCGCTTATTTTTACACACACCCAGGACAGAAGTATTGTGTTTGCCCTCATTACTAAGAGTCCAAACCTTTGCCACGCTATGGACTCTGCCATTCTTTTGGGATAACACTGCAAATATGGACGACTTACACCATCAGCAACAACTTTTAGAAGGATACATATGAGGTCTCCACTGGTGTAAACATTTGAAACTATAAAATCCCCAATCATTTCAGCAAGTCAATACTGTTGATATGTATGTCAATATAAATGCGTAAAGAATCATACAATACAACATGCGGATTGAGCTAGAAAACAACCTCTACCAAGCTTCGTCTTCGTCTTCGTTTGAGCAGAATATTTCCTCTGCCGGCTCGTAGATTTCATCTGATCACCAACTTCTTGGAACAAAGCATCGTTTGCACTACTTTCGTGGCGATGACCGCAGCGGACAAGTTGATTGGTTTTCCTTTTAACATAGCCTAGAGGAACATCACATTTCTCCATACCAGGTCTTGAACTCGGTGACGCAGACGCTGTGGACGGTCCAACTGCAGACCGATTCAACTTTCTCTGCATGAACAACTTTTTCCCAGATACCACATACCCGAACGTCTCATCGGAAGCTCTACCTGACGGCTTAATAGCGGGGTTACACGCCAAGGTAGTGAGGTCACTGCTTGCCTCGACGCAAGTGGGTCTGCATGGAGATGATTTGGATGAAGGTGCAGAGGGTATGCCTGTCACAATTGACTCAGGATGAGTGGCTAAAGTTTCATCTCCAGCAGGATTTGATCCTCTTATCGAAGAAAGCATTGGCTTTTCAGACGGTTTTGCACAAATAGTATTCATTTTAATATCCGGATTCTTTTCAGAAGGACATGCAGTAGAGGTGGTACTTGGGCTGAGGGCACCAACTTGAACATGTTTCGGTAACTGTGATGCAGACAAAGCAAGACTCTTACCAGAATCTGTCGCATCTTTCTGACGACATCTATACGAAGTAGTAGGCTGCGCAATGACATTGGCTTGGCAAGAAACTTGCTGCGTAGGAAACCTTACTATACTAAACTTTTTCCGGACGTAGGCACTGGGTTGGACAACTACCGCGGGTGCATGGCGAGGATCGTTGGGGAATCTTTGAGAACTGACAGATGTGGGTTCCCTACGCCATGTCTTACTACTCCTGTACGAGCGTAGTTCCGGAAACTGTGGTGCAGCTATTGATTGAGCTGGGGGGTGGCTAGATGCAAGGTGCGTATTTACTGGCTTGAGAACTGGTACGGTGTTCATCATCCCATCTTTCAAACTGGATATCTGATTCTTGACCGAAATCAACCCTCGCTTAATTTCTTCGGCAACAGTATTAGTCTTCTTGCCATTAGCTGCAGTGTCAACCACAGTTGTCACTTGCTGCATGTTATCGCCATTTTCAACACGCACTAGTTTACGCCTCTTGCCCAACTCCCGCTCGACATGCAAAACTGCCTTATCATTTTCGGCAGAAAGCTGTGGGATCAACTTCAGATCTGCTCTCGACTCATTAACAGAAGCCGCTACCTCGCTTGTAAAAGCCCTGGCCAGTTTTGTAGAATCTGTATCTCCCTCGGTAAATCTTTCTTGCGGCTCATTTCGAAAATTTCCTCCTGGCCTAGCCAACTGATATTCTTCTTTATCTGATGTGTTTGACAAGTCAGAAGACTGTGGCGCAGTTGTTATGTCTTGTTTCTCCTGCACTATGCAAGCTTCTCCTTTCTCCGTCATGACATTCCGCAACTTTGGCATAGAAACTAATTTCTCACTAACCAACCCACCTGGTTGCTTGGCCTGCTTATGTCCTGGTAAGCCTAATGAGTGGTGTAGTTCAGAATGCACAGATTGGTGAAAAGATTCTGCAGTTCTGTCATTGACTGGAGATTCTCCGTTGGTTTCTATACCTGAGGGTATCAATGTACTTAAGCTGGTTCCAGAAATGACGACCTGCCGATCTACGACCTCTGTCAACGAACTGACCCTCGTATCCCCTACACACGGATTACATCTGGACATCACTGCAGCTTCTTTTCCAGAATGTAGTAGCTGGTCTATCTGTACGATTTGTCCATCCACAAACGACTCTTCCAGTAAAAATTTCGTCGCCATAGAGGACGATTCCAGGGTTCTAAATATAATTTCCGAAGGCTCTGAAGAGTCTCTCTCTTTACTGACTTTCGAAGTAGGTAAGTCTTGTAACATGTGCTGGGAGCACGAAAAACCGAGAACATCCTCTTGCAATATCGACTCACCAGGGGAATGGGACTTGCCCAATGACTCAGAGGGCTTTAAGTCAGATCCAGTTGGCGTCTTCAGTAAATTGGCGATGGGAATGAGTTCGGTCTTGTGGTCAGTAAGAATCACTTTCTGCCCTGTTCCCTCATTGAAATCTGTGCTAAGCTTACTGACTGTGACGAGGTCATCATCGGTTCCAAGAACCACAGTTGGAGAATGAAGAGTAACTTCCGATGCCAGACTTGACGGATAAGTAGAGGCTCTAACAGGACCTGATTCTATAATTCCATTTTCCAGGAATTGTCTATTTTTTTCCGATGGTACCAGAGATTTCCTTTCCAATAAGGACCTTGAGCCCGATACAGACTTGGAATCCTTTCCCGGGTGCATCGTTCCTTCTTGCACCTCATCCTGAATCTGCCCAGACTTCACAATAGAAATCCTTTTCTTGTGTTCTTCTCCTTCCTTTGGTGTATCCTTGGGTATCACAGTACCTACATCATCAGTATTAGAAATTTCAACAAAAGACGGCTCAGCCGCAGCACCAAAAGCATCTTGTACTCTAGAAGTAATCCTCTCTGGTTGGATATCCCAGTCCACTTCTAAATCTTGTGATACTTTTACAGGCTTGACGTTAGAAATATTTCTGATTATTTCCGATGAACTTTCTGCAACAGGTTGCATAGAAACCGAGTGCTTTCCAACAATCAGAGTCGCATCTTTTGAAATGCTCGAACTTGCCCTCTCACCAGAAAATTGAACATTATTCTTGTACAATGGCAACTTATTGTCCAAGTTCCCATGTTGTTCGGGCTTGGTTTCTAGCCCTGCAAACTTTCGTCTTTTGCTTGGCCTAAGAGGTGGAGGCGATCCTCTCTCATTCTTGATCTTATCCGTTGAAAGCCGCACAATGTCTAAAGAGTCGGTCGCCTTTTGCATCACACCGATGTACCTGCAGTGTGATTGCTCTTCTGTTGAAAAAACAGGAATCTGACACCCACTTCGACTTCTTTCATCTTCCACATGGTCCCCAACAGCCCTTGAGGAATGAATCATTGTAGATCCATCCGGTGCTGCTTTTCTTTCTACTCCACTCTGCATATTCGCGGATATCCCAGAAGCAGCATGTTGATCAGTCCCACCCGCAAAACTGGTCTTTCTTCCTAGTAACCAAGGCGACCTATCACCGTTCCGTATACAACTTTCGTCTGCCCGTAGCGCCCGTCTGTGGCAATCCGGGTATTCTTCCGGACTCCGAGAATGAAGATTTATTCTGGGTAACCCAATACTAAGATTTGAAAGTTCACTTCGTTTAACTTCATGTGAACCATTCCTGTATTTGTTGGTTTTACTATTAGAGCGATAAGATCTAGGGGGAGCCCGCAAGGAGGATCGATCAATATGTGTAGTCGGTCTGGACAAGCTAGATCTGGTACGTAATTTCGACTCCAGAGATATATCTATACTGTGGTGAGGTCGATGACCATCATGTGGAGACCACAACCCTCTATCAGATAAATTCTGAGGTGAGATGTGCGGAGTCCTCGAGTCCTGTTTATCACACCAACGCTCCATACGTCGGTCATCAGGTTCAGGTATACTCCTGTACTTCATCTGCTTTCGTGAGTGCAAGGGAGAAGAGTGAGACCTATCTCGATTGTAGAACCTTTCATCGCTGATTTCTAATCCGTCAGACCTTGTTTTCTCAAACTCCAGGTGACTTTCAGCTCGTCGAGACGTCGGCTCAAGAAGGTTGTCTTCCAAACGATCAATTCTTGGCAGCTTGAATGAAGGCGTTCGCAGATTACTGTCAACACCTTCATAACTACGCCGTTTTCCTGCCTCGCGAGTGCTTGCAAGATTGTCATCCTGTAAATTCCTTGACCAACAAATACCTGTGTACAAAGCCAGAGGTGAAGTTACCTTCGACACTGATGTAGGAGAGTGTGGTCGAACATGCTGAGGAAGTGAATCGCGGCTCCAACTCTCATTTTCAGTATTAGCACCACGAGACTGATTCAGTAGTTGCTCAACCCAAGGTTGCGGCGGCAATATGTAAGGCTTAGAAATATGAGGATCTACGAAGTGATTCTCACAAACTCTTCCTGCACCGGAGGAACTTTCATTTAGAAACCAACCACGTCTATCTGCCCCTCCGTACACGGAAGACCCACGCATGGTTTCACGTATTCCAAACAGGTGTCCTGACCGATCATCGTGGTGAAACTCAGACCCAAGTGTGCTCGGTTCCGCAGTCCGAAACTTCATTTCTGGCTGTATAATAGCTGAGTTTTCCGCATACGGAATTTGGGGCCCGAAACCTGGAGGACCACTCTGTGTTGACAGTCCTTCAGTGAAGTTGGATGGACCCCTGAAACTCGGAGGAAAACTCTGTGGAGGCAAAGCCTTGTTGTAAATAGATGAATGCCTGAATCCGGGTGGACACGCTTGTGGAGGGAGTGTTTCCGAGTGCATAAGCGGGGGCCTAAATCCAGAAAGAAACGTTTGTGACGGGATTGCCTGCATCTGTGCTTTCAAGTCCATCCTTTGGGCAGAGCATTCAGCAACCAAAGTCCTATGCCGATGTGCCGCCATCGCTTTCATATCCCAGGTTTCTGCAGCTGCTGATCCAACTGAAGCTGACATACCTATGGACCCTGTCGCCACTATCATTCGAGGCCGACCATTGTAATTCTCGTCATGAGATGGGGGACCGTGTCCACCGTTATACACACCACGAACTCCTGGCGCAATAGCCTCCATACGTAGTGCTTCTCTATGAGAAAACCGTAAGCCACCCAGGCCATGGCTCCCGCCATCATTGCTCCTAGTATATTCCGGCCCGAACCCCGGCGGCATCATCTTCTTTAAAACCAGCAACAATGTCCAAAATATCTCTTACAAACTATCTACCTGCAAACGCAGCCATTCTCGAATTGAGTATGCTTATAGAATGTCTCGCTCCAATTACGAACTCTCTACTCTCCCGTTCAATTCACAACCTAAAATAACTCTAAAGCATGTTGATATCTGCAGGACGGACATGTCGGAAGTCTATTCCTGATTATTCATCAAACCCTCATTTTCGAATTTCCTGGTAAACTAAAAACTTGCTTTTGCAGAACGCCACCAAACACGGGAAAATCCAATCTGTAAGCAAACTGGGTAGAAAAACACAAGAATAAGCCCACCATTAACACCAGAACCCCCACACTGATCGTTCGCCCAACGATGACTTTGATACCTGCAGCACACGCAATCTTATGACCTAATCCACTCTCCACAACACATCATTTGCAGTAGTTTATTACCTACCGAAAACAACAACGACCGTCTCCAACAATCTCTGAAATCAAGACACTACACTATCAATTAACGATCTAAAGCTCCTAAAACTCCTTCACACAACACACAAACAAACAAAAAAAAAAAAAAAAAAAAAAAACACTGCAACATGCACCAAACTCTAGGAATACACCTATTCCCGGTTGAATTAAGGACATTCACCTGCTCAAAACAGCCACGCCAACCTTCTCACACATTCACAGCGCACACCTAAACAGTCTTCACCTAGCCGAACAGACTTTCCAAGGGATTGTGCAATCGGGCCCGACTCGGCCCAATTTCCCTGCTCAATGAAGCGCTTCAAAACTTGAACTTCACCGCAATGGAGCGAGGACGCATCGGGGCCTTATCGAGAGTCTCGGCAGATTGTGAGGATAGCCATGAAGCCCCGCTTCACAGACTTCTCGTATCCTAATTAGGGCTTCACCTTCACCATTCATACTTCAACGCGAATTCTGAGGAGTACTTTCTAGATGCCGGAGCCAAGTTCACATCCGTTTCGGTGAAGTCTCAGGTCCACTTGTTTACCAAGACCCGCTCTTGGTTGTTGGGTGAAGCCAAGGCCCCCCCTCGTAAGGAATTAAGACTGTGTTGTGAATTAAGACTATTAGAAATGAATAAGACTAATTATGAGGCTAATGCTACTACAATAAATTTTAAGTTGTTTTTTCTTGTTTTGAACATGTTCAAGTTGATATTATAACTAATAATGTGTGTGTATGTATGTATGTATGTATGTATGTATAAATACGTGGTATCATTTTTTAAGACAATCATAATACAATGATCATGCAAATAAGGTACCTACATACTTAAATGATTTTTTTTTATTAGTCATGTATTTTAATCTCAAATCTATGTTGATTCAGTTGAAACACATAATAGAAAGAAAGATGGAATTAAATCAATGCATATAACAGAATACAAATGAAACACTTGCAATAAGACACAATTTATTTTTTTAATTCTGTTCGGATGTGTTTTCTGTATAATTCTTTTGAATAAATCTCAAAATTATAAAGTAACCTATTCTGAATTGTTAAGTAACATTGACTACTTGTAATTCTAAATATTCTTATATTCAACTATTGATTTCCTCATAACCATCATTAATCAAAACAATCTCAAATCCTAACTACTATCTAAGTTGTCACCATCACCCAAATTCCAAAAACCTTTAAATATGTACAAAACTCAAACTTCATTACCATTTTAACGTTAAATTCTTTTGTTTGTTTTTTGTTTTTTTGACAGGTTAATATATATATATATATATATATATATATATATATATATTATTTGTGTAAATTAATTTTTGATAAAAATTTCATTAATGTAATGTGTAAAAGAACGATACAAGAAATTATTTGTAAATTCAATACATCTTTAGTTGTGACATGCACTGGATGTTGCCCCCATGTGCATCAGTTGATTTGGAATTACTTAATTTTACTTTTTAAAGACTTATCAATGTAATGCTAGTATCCAAAAAAAAAAATTATAGATTTTTTTTTGCCATTTGGGAATTAGAATATGCATTTTAGTATGTTTGTATTATATGATATCATGTATTAAATATCTTGAATAAAAAATAATAATTTAATACTTAAATATCCTATATTTGTTTAAAAACTTCTTGTGTACAATGTATCAGTTTCAACAATAATAGAAAAGTAATTTTTTACTATTAAGACACATATAATTTACTTTTTCTTAATTATTTTTAAAAAATTATTATTTTTCTGTTTTTAAAATTCTTTTTTATCAAAGACTTTGGTTTTAAAAAATTATTAATTTTTTGTATACACTGAAAAGAATTACAAAATTATCTATATGTGTGTGTATGTGCACACATACACATAAATATTGAGATATTCGTATTTTTTTGTTTAGACATTATAGTTGTTCCTTGATGGACATTATGCATAAGTAGAAATTTATACTTTCTCATAGCCACATTAATAAACACACAGTAATAACATTTGTTTAGATATGGCACCATGAAACATGAATTTCTATTTTGAAAACATCTCAAGGTGATGTAATCATGAGATGAGAAGATTGTAATTATTGCATGTGAAAATTCAAATAAGTATTTATATTTTCACAAAGGTGTATGTCACAAGTAAGTTTAACAAATTTTTTCTTGTCAATACAGTGTACACCAATACATACGAAACTTTAGTTCGGTTCTTCAGTTTTAGTTGTTTGTATACAAATGGAATTTTATTTTATTTTTCTGCAAATGTTTTTGCAATAGCTAAAAATAGAATATTAAAAAGTAATGATAGAATGAAAAACATTAGCGACAAATGATTTTGAAATGAGAGCTGCTGCTAAGCCGTCACAATCTGCACATTCGACCTTAATCCTAATTCCGCTATCCACATGAGCAGTTCTCAACCTCACCAAATTGACAATTAACGTGCAATGGTCACGTTGTAGGTGTGAAATGAACCATACTTTTCACTGATGCTTTGCATACCAGGTGCCTTGAATCTAAATTCGACCACTAAAGGGAGATAAAATGCATACTCTCTGAATTCCTTCTCAGCTTAATAGTAGCGCATTTACCACTTTTTCAAAACTGAGGAAGAATATTTATTTTCTACAAAAAAAAACTAAAGAAAATGTCACTAAAAAGAAACAAAAAAAGGTTAACTGATCATCACCTACTATGTGGTGGCTTCCTCTTCAGTGTTGGAAGATACGTCGTAGTCTATGTACTCGTCATCATCGGCGCCTTCGTCATCAAAGCCTAAGCTTAGCGCTTGCATCTTAAATCCTGCCTGCTCAATGAGTTGTACCAAACTTGAAGCAACACCTGTTTCTTGAATGTTGGTCTGCTTGACTAACTGCAACCACACCATCCAACCAGGCGTTAGTGTTAGTTGCTAAATTTAAATAGTCTCATTTATCACCACTTCTCTGAGAAATTGCTTAATTAACTGCAGCATTCAAGATCGAGAGAGCTAAGGTGCCCTCGAGCGCGTCCATGATCTAGGTTCAAAGCGTAATGCATGCAAATAATTCAGTTCGCAGGAGCTAGTTAGAGTAAAGTTGTTTTCAGCTCGTCAGCAACGCGGACTAAATTCGATCCTTACTACTACCAGTTACAGAACTTGTCTATTGAATTCTCACATTATCATTCAAGGGCAGAATGATACGTCATAATGCAAGCGAGAATTAAAAAACGGTTGTACTGCTAAACGGCTGGGAGTCAAAAGGCAACCGATGCGGCAGAAAATTATTTTTGGATTCGAACGTAGCTAAACAGGTTCATCTCTTGGATTTCATACACATATTTTTAAGAATGAATCTAGGAATCGAAAAGGAAAATACGTTATGCATAAAGAAGAATATATTAGTCACGTTGGCAATGTAGCCACAGTCCAGTGAAGGTCGCATTACCTCAACTGTAGCAGCACCTTCTACGACATACACCTTCACTTGGCTCACACCCTCGGTTCCCTAAACCACAAACATTCAGTCGGTAATTGAATCTCACAAGTCCACAGGGAAGAAATTATTCAGAAAAACTTACGGAAAATCTTTCTCAAATAATCACATGCATTACATTTATCCCTCCAAAATAAGCAGCAGCTCATGAAGAGAACAAAATGCATGACTACCTCAAGTGTTTTGGTGAGTTTTGGGATGGCGTTCTCGTTCAGTGATCCTTCAGCCTGCAGCACACACGAAGTGTAGTGTCATCACCAACAGAGCTCATGCTAATTCTACATGAGGCAAGTACTCCTCAAAGAATCTAGCGGCAGCATCACACCCCAGAAATTACTAGAACTTACAGCTCCTATCTGCAGAATATATGGAATAACTTAGAGTGAATTAGAGAAAATAAAGCGACATTAACGGATACATTCACAGCTATGATATTGCGCAACAACCCGAGGAAATGCATAGGAAATGCAGATTGACAACTGCACACGCACTATTTGGCAACGGTGACCACAGGCGTATGACTGCCTCGACCAATCTTTTTTCCATACAGAAGCCAATTACTTCAACAGGACAAAAAAAAAGTCATGGACCAACCAATCCTGCAAGGAAGAACTACCTTGAAGAACATTGACAAACTCTCTGCAAGCGCACCGGAATCGGCTTGGCTAGCAGACACGGCTTCCTCAACAGCTGCACTGACGAAAAATTTGGGAATGCTACTGCTCTTGTGTCGCCACCGGTGACCTCCGGTGACGCGCAACCTCGCGCCAAGAGTGGCAACCGCTTCACACCTAGCTCCCAAGGAAGCGCAACTTACAGCGGTCCTGCAACCACCGCGCACGGGCAGGTGGTCTAGGGCAACCCTGTAGCTCTGGGCTGCCTTAGGAGATGTCATCTGGCAAGCACCTGCTGCCATTGCGAACAATCACACACACTCTACCTCTAACTCGAAATTCGCAGCACTCATCAACTCAAGGGGATAATTGCTTCGAGATCCTGGTCGCAAGCAGCAGCAGAAGGACGAGAACGAGCGGAACAGGGGGGGAGGGAGGGAGATGTCGAATGTATGAAGGAAGGGACTAAGCTGCTCACAGAAACGAGTTACATCAAGAGCTCACACTTGCAGGTTGTTGGATAAGGAAAACATCGCCGAGGGACTTCGTTCGGTCATCATCTTCGTTCGTTTCGAATCTTCCTTCGTTTTTTTATCATCGTTGATCCACGATCTTCGTTCGTTTCGAATCTTGGTTTGTTTTTCTTGGCATTACTGTTGTTATTAACTTATGTTTTCCTTGATTTGTTTAAAATTTTACAATATATATTCTACATGCAAAAAAAGAAGAAAGTAAACTGTAATCTGTTTTAAGTTTGTGCTATACTTTTCACAGCTTTGGTACTACTCAATGATCAACATAATAGTTATTTTCTTAATTTAAGTTTCGTTTACTATTAGTGTTTCATGTATGTCAAAAGTGGTAATTATTGTTCAATATTTTCAAATATATAATGTGATTTTTTTGGTCATAAAAAGCATTAATTTCGGTTTCTCAATTAATACGAGGATTTAAAACACATGTGTTGTGTTGTCTTTGTTTTGCACTTCTTACATATTCATTTGTTCTCCCATTGTTATTTATTTTGTGGTCTTATTATTACTTGAATGAAGGAGGGAGGGTGATTTTATCTTCATGTTTGATTATATTATTTACTTATGTACAATTTCAATTACATAATTAATTAATTAATGATATCACGTACAAATATTTGTAGTACTTTTGATATACAAATACTACTATTACCATGCTAAAAAAATTTCATATTTTTTTGAATTAATATTTACACCAAGCCTCCAATTTCAACATAACCTGAAAAGATATGTAGTTACAATTTGATTAATTCATGAGATTATTTCATGAAACCAGAGATATTTTATTTGAAACTTATTGAGAGTTTACTTTATGGACAATAAAGTAAACTGTAAAGTAAACTCGTAATCCTGGTTCCTTTAAAAGTTTGTTGTATTCTGAAGCCCTCGGCTGTTGCTGATCCTGTTGCAGCTAACTTAGCTGAAGAGCGGAGACAGTTGGCAGTTTTGTTCGGTATGGAATTTTGAAGCCCTCCTTGTCGATTTATTCGATTCGTAGCATCGCGAAATGTGTGTTTATTGTCACTGCGGAATATGTCTGTTTAACGTATACTACAAAGAGGTATATTATTGTTGTACTTGTTTTATATTTCTTCTTATCGTGTGGAATAGCGTGCAGATCCGACGTGATCGGCCTGAGCGCTACGAGGGATTCCACTATCTCTATCTACCGCTGCAGGATTAATTTAATTTTGGTTTTGAAATGCGACTCAGCGGATTCTAAATGCCGTCGTCTGGTTTCAGGAAGTTCTTCATGAAGAGTGAGGCAGCAGGTGTACCTTCTGCCGTGGCTACTACGGTGCTCTTGGTTTTGGTTGGATTGATCTTCATGTGGAGGTCACAAGGGTGTGAATTTCAAGAGAAGTGTACTTGAAAGGTTACTAGGAAGTGACCACCAGAACTTTGAAGATCGCGAGTACGGTCACAGTGTTGACCATGTCTCGAATTAGGGTTAGAATTGCTGGCCACGTTTGAAGCGGATACCTGTAGAAGAGCCATTTCCATTACAGTTGGTAGCTCTCTACCGTGCGAAAATGCAGTTTTCGATGCCGAAAGGGCCTCTTGTATGTGGAGTGCGACAACTGTGGCCCAACATCAATCAGTTGACGAGTAACACCGAATGGCGTAGACTAGTGGCGCTGCGAAGTGCTAACCCTAGATACTCACGGAGAAAGATTTTCGGATATTTTAATTCAAACAATTTATTGGGAAGCAGGAAGCATACGCGTAGAATTGGTGATGATGTCCGATTCAGGGAGTGGAGTCTGGGAGCATTAGATGGTTCACAAATATCCAGGAATGGTGATGTGTCTGGTCGGCGCAGGATTACTGTCCCAGCGATAGTTGATGAACTCGAGGAACTGAAGAGCGACCCGGTTGATGCAATTCTTGTGCTAGCAGGAGGGCAATTGCCGGGTGGAGGTGTTCCAGTCTGGGTGGAGAGACGACTTGACAAAGCTCTTCAATTGCAGAAATTGAGTGGTCACGAGTGTTGTATCGTCTGCTTGGGGAATGGCACGCCTCATCGACCACCTCTCCTCACCTCCGAGGGTTTTGTGATTCATGAAAGTACGTCATGTGCAGAGTATCTTATCAGTAAAGGCGCGCCTGTACGTGTTCTGATCAAAGAATGTAGTTCATATGACACTATAGGTAATCTTTTACCTCCAAGTTGTTTTTGAATTCCCAAATTTTGTATTGAATCATGAAGTTCACTGTCTTTTACAAAATTCATGTACCGTCTTTTCATATGAATTAATGCATGTTTTTGATAATATGTTTCCAGGGAATGGTTTCTTCGCTCTGACCCAACACGCAATTCCCCAAAGGTGGAAGAAAATGGCGATAGTCACATCAGCTTTTCACATGCCGAGGTCCCAAGCTATTTTTGAGTGGGTTTTTGGGTTGCAAGGAGCAGGAACTTCGCTTCAGGACGGGAATGAGCCCACAAACGGGTCGTTAGTACCGCCTGCTGGCTCTCGAAGCCAAGGGTTCATTTTGCAATACCACAGTGTGTCGGATGATGGCATTGATAGGTCAATCATTGAGGTTAGATTTGCTCTCTTCCAACTGCTTCTTTGAATTTTTATAAAGTTGCGCCATATGAAATGTTGCTTGGGATGTGGATGTCACCTGATAGAATTGAATTTTAATTTCCCCTTCCTGGACTTAATTAGAACCTCCACAATCTGCAAGTTCCGTTGTTGGAAGCTATTGATAAGATATGTTCTTTCAAAAAGTAGACATAAATTCTTATGTTTGTCTCATCCTTTGGGTTGTGTGTGCAGGCTCGAATCGCTAAGGAAAGGAGGGCACTGGAGAGTTTGAAGATTGTCTCCGCTGGTATCAACACGCTCAGCGACTTCCATGTATGGTTCCACAGCCAGCATTCTTGCTACAATGTGCGAGATCAGGGGTTGTTTGGGAAGCAAACGCTGAATGATCCTGCTCTTCGGTCATATTAAAAACCATTACTTGTTAATTTTTGTTACCTCCATTGTAAGCGAATGAGGAGAAAACTAAGCTTCCGCGAGGAAGGACAACTTGGTTACACAGCTGTTCATGCATGATGTTGGGGCTATCGATGACAAACTGGACTGAACCTTTGAAAATCCTCATTCAAGGCCATTTTGATTTCATTCCACTTCTTTAGGGCACTATTTGGTAATGTTCAAGTGGGTTCAGGGATTTCAAAGAATGAGAAACTGGCGTTGAACAAATGCCGGCAAAAGCAGACGAGGGTTATTCGAGGCTACTGAATTTCAGATGAACACGCCAGAGGGTCATGCTTCAGTCCTTTGAAGCTTCTTCTCTGATCCTTAACTTCAGTTCTACACAAAGCAATTTCAAATCTACCCACAAATGAGAAGTGTATTGGTGAACACGCCGTTTACCATGACCTCATCATTCGTTGGGATACTTGATCACGCTGCTCACCGATCACTCCAAAGATCTGTAACAATCTCCTTCCCTCGGTGTTTCCACATGGAGGACATGAAACCGCTAAGGGTGTTGTCCACGTCAATCGAAACTATTTCTTCTCCTGAATAAGAAAACATCCAGCGCTCTGATTGTAGATTCATTGATTTAGGCGGGAGTTTCAACCTTCAGAGCCCGTTCTGTTGCATGCTTACCGGCAGGTGGTACCCCAGCGCGCTCACGCAAGAAATTCAACTTACCTGCGATCATATTTCATGGTGTTTATCTAACTTGATATATGTTTAAGATATGGATGCACTTTCAACTCTAAACCATGTGCAAAAGCCGAATGTGTGTAATAGATGATATGGACGGACGGAAACATTGCCATGAAAATACCAACATTGGCAGAAGCACAATACAACTGCGGAGATCCATTATTGAAAAGTGAAAGAGCAGGAGGTGCAAGTGACGACAACCAGTCGAAGTTCACTGTAAGCGGGGATTTCGGCAACGGGGCCATGATGAATTGCAAGACGTATCTCACGACATCAGATAGCGTGGCATGTGAAATGGAGGAAGGTTTCAAACGAAATGGAAGTGTAACAGAACTCAAAAGCAGAGCTATAAACACAGACTTGAGGATCTGTTGCTTTCTTATATCCTCGAAGAATCAGAATTACTTTCGACAACAATCCCAGGTCAATAAGCAGGAATGTTACAGAAGCTACAGTAGCAGGATGCTACACGTTTCACACAACTAGTCTACGTTAACGAGTGTTGAATTTCGACCCCTGCCCACTTCGTCTGTTGGAGGAGAGGGGCCAACACTAGGGACGGAAGGTGCAGGAGCGCCAGCAGCATCAGCACCCGCAGATGAGAAGCTTTCGTCTCGTACAGGCGGCTTCGCAGTCGGAGTGTTTTCTGTATTATAATTTTCTCCTCCCCCAGCTGGTGTCTGGCAGTTGGCTGGGACATTGGCTTCGGATTTTACGAAACTCTTTCTTGCGCGCAACAACCTGGTTAAAATTTTCCAAGTTTTATTACTTTTTGAGGACTTGGGGGAGGAGGTAGCAGAGAAAGATTTGGCATTGATGATTGCAGAAGTTTCCCGTTGAGGAATAGATGGATTTGGAAGAGAGTCACCTCTAAGTTTGAGATCATTCTTACTTGGTAAGGAGGAAGTCTCAAGCTCATCCGTGTCCTGAGATTGGATCTTCGCCGTGGTAAACCTGTCATCCCTCCCCGGGGTAGTCGATTGGACCGCAGATAGGGGAGACGTTCGTGCATCCATCCCGGTAGGCGTTGAATACTCTCCTTGGGTGGGCAATGTGGTCGAATAGGGGGATGGTGCCAGTCCCTCTGTTTGTGAATCTGGGGTGGACTCTTGTATATTTTCCGGTACTGCTGATGAGTCGTCTACCTGAGGATACAACCCCTTCACAACCGGTTGTATACAAGATTTCTTTACGACATACACATTACTCTTGACGATGCTCTGGCTGATTCGAAATCCAGGAAACACAGTGAACAAAACCTCCAGAAAGTCATCATCATCCTCTTCTTCATTGTCACCGATTCCAGGTATGGCAGGTTCCATGTACTTCCTCTGATAATTATCACTTCTGAAAGGTGAATACGTGATAACTCTCTGTTCAAATGAGAACACCAACCTCTGGAGCAACCAGATGGACACAGCTGCGAATAAAAAACTCTTGTAGAAAGGCGTGTTCGGGTGTCTGTGACGTGCTATTTCGCTATGATTTGGACATTTTCCTCCAAATAGACCCTCTTCTAGTTTTTTAGGAATTAGACTTGCAAATTTGCTGAAACAGAATCGGGAAAGAAAACTGGTATTTAACCCAGTTTCCAGCAGATGCGCAACCGTCTGACTTTTATCCTTGCATTCTTGAAACTTATCAAAACAATCGCGCGTATGCTGCACTTCCCATGGTTTCTCTCCTGTATTGCTAATGCAAAACGAGGCGTTTTCAAATCCTGAAAATAACTGGAGGGCAATGTAAGCCTGAGCCACGAATTTCGAGTCACTCGCTTCCGGTGCATCCTGAGCAACCAAATTCAACTCATCCCGCATTCGCTTCTGAAAGGACTCACCCTTATCGGGCATGTCTTTCAATAATGCCACAAAATCCTTAGAGAAATCCTTCACGGCATTCCGTGCTGCAGTCACGGTATTCAGAAGGATTAGCGGGGACGGCCCTCCACCGTCGTCACGGTAAACGCCCTGAGCCATGTGTTGATCCGGTTTATTCAATAACTTCAGTGTCGTTGTAATTTCTGAGTTTTCTTCCATCTCCACATCAGCTGGCACCGCATTCTCTACAGATGAAGTGTGATGACTGTTGGAATTCCCATTGAATGCCGCGGTCGGAGTCTTCCACTTCGGAAAAAAACGATCTTTCCACTTGCCATTTCCTTGTGATTTGGACTCATCCTTCGGGACAAGCTCCGAAGATTTTTCAGGCGTGCGAGGAGGCGATGACTCTCGTTTGGCCCTGTTGCTCTTTCCAAGTTGTAACGTGTTTTTATGTTGCTTCTCTTCCGTGTCCATCTGCAATGCATGGCTCATCACCTAAGTTATGTCATTGCAGACGCTTCCAATCTGGAGTGAAGCTCATTTCATCGCCTAGACGTGGACTCCTGCAGACGCTGCTTCTGATTTCTAATTTCTGAGAACATACCACAACAAGCAATGGCTGCTAAACCAAATCTATGCCCTAAGGTTCCCCAGCCCATTTCCGCCATGCACCTACATTCAAGCTGAACGTTGATTGGATTTCAATCTACTCACCCAGTCTCTGAAACCGACAGAGATAATTTACAGTCATAAATGCAAGCTCCCTCATAGTAACTTCAAACCACAATCCTAAAGGGCAACCTAGCTCGGATTCGCAGGAAACACAATTTGAACATTGCTAACGTTGAAATCTGGAACCCTACACAAGAATGCATGTTCTCGAGGAACGCGCTCCTCCGCTTGTGGCAAACCACGGAAGGGAGATTTTCGCGCAGATCTACCGACACTTCAACTACTCGGTGTTACGAATAGAATGACGGTAGTACGCATACCTCTGTATGACTCGCCATCCACCTTCCGAAGGCGCAGCACGAGAGAAACGGTGCGGGTCACAGCCCTCCCTGCTCCCTTCCCCAAAAAACACCAAAACACGGCAGCACTTGAGAGTACCCTCGACGATCATTTACAGATCACTGCTCTCCTCTTTCTGGATCCCTCACCCAACTCACTCTCTCCGCACAAACCCACAGATCGCGACCAGGATCTGGACCCCCCAACAAAACCGTCACTGTCGAGGTGCCAGATGCAGCTCCTTGTCGAGAAGAATGCTCCAAGCTCCCACACTACGAGCGTGCCAGGTAAGAGGAAGAAAAGAAAAACAAAAGTGCCGTGCGCGATTCAAACGTCGCTCCCACTATTGCACTCCGGATCCGCGATGTCCTCCAGAGGAATCATCGGTAACACACGGACACTCAGTTTGCGTAGTCGGTGTTACTATATTTAATGGGAAATAATAGCTGTCCGTGCCTCTAGAGCAATTACTATTTACTATTCACAGGTACACAGTCTGGATAGATATATCCGGAACACTTTCGAGGAAAATATACAATAATGGTGAATCCCTCCAAAACTTCTATTGTGAGAGATAAAACACCTACAGAATTGTGAGGTGCATGTGTTCATTGGGTGTGGCCAAGGGGCCTTCGGCATGTCCAAGTGGGTTTTGCCCATTTTGTCTGCTAGCCAAGGTGCAATACAGCCTGGCAGACAAACAGCCAACTCTACGAGGCTTGCATAATACATTATGCAAATGGTGAGGCAGCCATGATAATTAACTTGGTTTGTGCTTTTGTAACCAGATTTGGCTTTCAACTCCCATCGGTAGGAGACGACACTAGATTAGTCTGCAATGGATTGGAAAGGATCTGTAACTGACCATTCTGTACTAGTGTTGTCACTTGCTTACAGCTCCTTTTTTGGACTTTCAGCAGCTCCCAGTCAAATGGGCGTAGTGTGCAACGGCAAGTGCTTGATCAGAGAAGTTGGGTTTGCCGCACAAAACCCACCAGTCATCAACGAGGGATACTTGACTGGAATGAATCTAGTTATCTTTCCACCATACATATTAATTTTAGGGGCATCACAGGTCAAATATCAAAAACTGCTTGCTTGCCTCAGCTCTCTTCCTTCTTTGACTCCGTACCAATCGCAATAAAGACTGAATTAGGGAGTAATACCAAGGGGTAATAAAGTTTGAATTAGGGATAATACTTGGGGGTAATAAAGTTTGAACAATGATATTTTGAGTGATCCAAGAGATATGTAGTGTTAAATCCCAATGATTTGGTTTTGCAAATGTGCCATCTTTGAAACCTCCTATTGTTGTTGTTTGAAAGTGGTGTAATTCTTACTTGTAGTATGATCATTATAAGTTTTCAATTTATTGGGTTTTAAAACATCATTATTCTTAATTGTGATCTTGGATCTATTTGTGCATAAATTATTTATTTAATTTTTTGATTGATTGATTGATTGATTGATTGATTGATTAATTAATTTATGAAGTCAAAATAGATGCATTTGTTTGTTTGTCTTTAACAATGTAATTTATATATATATATATATATATTTTAGTAATAGGCACAATCAAGTCATATTTGGATTAATTAAGCAATTAATATTGTTATACTTCTCTATAATTGGATATCATATAAATCAAAGTGTGTTATACTGCTTGAAAATCTCTTCGATTATGATGTCTTAAAACATTTGGAGGCCAATCAATCTCTTTAATAAATCAATTAATTAAATCTATTAAAAAAATATTCTAAGATGAGGTAGCATTATTTTAAAATATATATTAAGAGTGTCATATAATCATAAACTGTCCAAAAGAAATTGCATGAACTAATCAAAATAAGCCTTAAAAAATTAATTGATGGTATTTCATTACATAAAATGAATACTTTTGAGATTATAAAATATATTTTTGGATGAATTATTTAGAAATAAATGATATATTATTAATCTTGATTTTATAGAATTTTTTGGTAGTATGCTATATATATATATATATATATATATATATTATAATTTAAATATTAGGTTAGAAAGTCCAACCTTTTTTTAAAATGTCTATAGGATTATTATCTATTATTGTAGAAGAGTTTGGCATTGCTTGACCTTATTTTTAAAGATTATTTACTCTTACATTACAATAATTTAGATGCTAGAATTTGCAAAGTTAAACAACTTTATCTATAATTTATTCTATTTTATTATTTTATGTTGAAATTTCTAAATCTAAATATCTTGATTGTTTGACAGTATACAAATCCAAAACAAACTTAGTATCTACACATAAATACAAGAATGATCTTCCTTTTACATTGATACTATATAATTTATGTAAAAATTTAGTATATAATTTAATCCTATTCATCTTTATTTTTATTGTTTTACTTACCAAATTTTGGTTTCTAAAATATAGTTAGTGTATAAAATCATCAATTATAAATATACTATACATTACTTTGACTTATACTAAAATTTTAACAAAACTTTGTAAAAATAGAGAAATATTTTGGTAAATTTTAAAACTATATTTTTAAGTTAAAAGAGTCAATTTAGATAATAAGGATTTGTTGACTTGGATTTCATAGATTGTTTACTAAATTTTTAAGTTTATAAAGTATAGAGTGTTTTTTTTTAGTTGATCTATCTTATAATATTTTATATTAAATTTTTATTAAATGTATTATTTTTATATAGAATATATATATATATATATATATATATATATATATTATTACTTAATTTGATAAATTTTTGCAATGTTTATTTATTAAAAATCTTAGAGTTATTTTTTTTAATAAAACTAATATTGGTATAAATTTAATAGAGACACAACCTACAAAGTCTCATATTTGAAGGAATATCTTTTAAAAATTAGCAAAAGAGTATAATACAAAGTCAAGTTATTTTTTTTGTATATTATTTTTTTTTAAGATTTTTTTTTAATTCTTTTGTAATAAAATAATATCATTGATTTATTTGTAGATATATCAAAAAGATAATGCATTTTTAGCTACTAAAATTGGTAGAGAAATTGATAGAATCATATGATATTTGTAAAAACACTAGTAGTATAAAAGCAAAGTGTTTTTATAATTATAATTTACATGAGTTTTTTTTTAAAATCATTTTTTTGTCATGAATTAGAAATTTTAATGTATTTTTTTGGATTATATATGCATCTAATATATATGTACATTGAATAATAATATTTTTTTATTTATGTAATGTAAAGAATAAAATTATTTAACTTTTTTTTAATTAATTATGCATTTGTGTTTTTTATAAGATAACTATTTTTAAGGTTTCTTTTATTTTTTAATTTATATTGCTTTCTTTTGAGTTGTTAAAAAAGTATTCTTATATATATATATTTTAATTTTTTCAAAATTATCATATTTTAAAAATTAAAAATAATATTAATTATCTTGACCTTCTAAGTATTTAATATCAATTTATCTTGATTTGTGACTTCATTTCAATAAAGAAAAATTCAAATAACAATATTTATAACAATATTGATGGTAAATAATGAAAATATTTATATTTTTAAATAAAAATTATTTATAATTAAATGGCATTTATAACTAATAATAATCCAATAAGAATATTTATAAATAACAATGGAATTAAGTTCATCTATGTTACTTTTGTAGTAGCAAAATAGTTTATTTTTTTTGATAATCTATGTGTAAAGCTAAATGTTTAGTTAGATTGAAAATAAGTTAGATTGCTAAAAAACCTTTTTGGCCGTACATTAAATAAGACTATTTCTAATATCACAAATGTTTTTGGTATCAAATAATAAGAGATTCATTTTTGTGCTAAATTTTTGTTCATTGAGACTAAAATTTTACAATTAAGATTTAAAACACTAACCAATTTAGTGCATCATTTTTTTTTTTAATAAACTTAAATTATGATAAATCAAATATGAGAAAAGGTTTTATATATTTTTTCATTTCCTACTTTTAACATCTACTAATGATGAAAATGAATGATGCATTATTTTTTTCTTAAATTATAGATGTTGTTAAAAATTACTTTTTAGGTTATAAACAAATCTTTTTAAATCAACAGTTGCACATATTATAAAATAAGTACCTTAGCCAACTATTAGTATCACAATTATGACAAACTTTAGACTTCAGCAGTAGGCACTAAAGAGAAACAATTTATATTTATATTGATAGGCTAATAGATCTGCACGAGCTATTGTATTACAGTTCTACTACTGGTTGGAATTGGTGCTGCTACAATTTGGTATTGGTTGAGGTTGGTTTTGGTGCAATTCTAGTGCTAGTTGGGGTTGGTACTAGTACATGGTGCACTCAACATGTGTACAATTTGTCTCTTTGGTGGAATCTAGTCCTTCCTCCTAAGCCTCAATTAGAAGTATATTAGCAAACTCAATGTGGTGAAAGAGCCATTTTTTTTTTTTTTTTTTTTTTTTTTTTTGTTTGTTTTGCCAAACTGTTTTTGTAGTTGTTCCTAATTGTTCCTATTGTAGAAATGGGTGCTAACATCATTCTCATTAGCCACTAGCTAGTATGTATGATTAATAATTGTTGAGAATACTTTTGCAATGAAACCTCACTACTGTATTCAAGAACAATTCAACTATACTCCTTTGGCATTGTTCATATTCCATCCTTAATGTTTTGTGTCTACAATCACTATTGCCAATTCCAAATATAACAGAAAACATTTATTTTATTTTATTTTGTTATATTTATATTTTTTTATATATTAATTTAACCAATATAATAAACCAATTAGTAGAAAATTGTTTTTGTTAATGTAGTGCTTCCCTTTTAGAACAAGAATTTTATAGAAAAATCTATTTCTATTTTATTTTTATTTTTTTATCAATGATATATAATACAAAAAAATAAAAATAAAAATAAAAAATCAATGAAAATAAATCAATAATAATCTATATGTAGTTCCTTACTTTTTTTATAGTCAATGAAATTAATCCTTAAAGACCTAAAGCTTATTGATTTAATTCAAATTTAATTATGCCCAATGACTTAGTAAGGACATATGTTGGTTGACTATTAATATTAATATAGTATAGCTAATTTTTTTTAAAAAAACTCTTCCATAAGTGAAATGATAATGGATCTTTACATGTTTTGCTCGATCATAGAAAATTGATTTTAAGAAAGTTTGATAGTACTTTAATTGTTATAGTATATGTCTATATTGTTTGAAGTATGTTTTTTTAATTTGATAATGTATTTATTTATTTATTTATTTATTTTATTTTTTATTGTAAGAAATAGGAATAATAGTTATATTCCTACTCTCTAATTTAATGAGAAGCTTGTGAAGCCAGATTGCTTCTTGTGCACCACTATAAAGAATATAATATTCCGATTTGATTGATGACCTTAAAACAATGAATTGGTGTTTATTTTGCCAATTA